ACAGTCCCCCAGGCCTATGGGGCAGGAAATCCAGTTGGAGCCAGAGTCCAGGAACGGCCAGGTCTCTGAACACAATGAGAGGCAAACTTTGCACCAGAGCCCTTAAAGAACTTATTTGTGCACATACTGTGCAGAGAGGGGACAAATACTGAGGGCATGCTATTCTCTAGCCTGCCAGAACCACTGATTTACAATTCAAAGAGGAAATTACTCTCCATTCAGCTTCAGCTTAAAGGATTCGGTTCCCCTTTTCAGAGCAAATGTGTTTAAAAAAGTAAAGCAGGGGCAAAAATACACAATGTTTAGGTGCTTTTTGCAAAACAGCACATCTCCACTATTAGAGAGAAAAAAGACTCCACATCCACACAGATGACATACTTCTGTAGCACAACAGTAAACAATAAAGTACTATCCCATTTGTACATCTCTCAACTGCTTAAATTTTGACCTGGAACAAAGAGATATCCTGCCTCTGCTGGTAGATAAGTAAACTGCAATGTATGCATCTATTCATGTTTAGCTATACCATCATCCACAGGGGCTTAAGCAATGGTCAGTTTCTCACCACAGAGTCGCTCTTGGCTGGATATTTTTGGCTGGTGGACCATTCAACCCAACAGTGACACTGAGGCGTTCAAAAATCCCAATAAAACTGCAGTGCTTGTACCAGTGCAACACCCACAGACATGCAACTACCATGCTGACATCACTGCTGTGCTGAGAATGGTACACCATTCAAATAATATCTGGTCAGAGGTGGTCCCTTTTGACTGATGTATGGGGTAGAGGGGCACTAATAAATTGGTTAGCAACAGATTGGCTACAGTCTGTAAATGTATTACTACTAATTGCACCCACATGTAAGGTGTACCTGGAAAACAGCCAAGTGCAAGCACCAGATAGGCGTACCAAATAAATTGGCAAACGAATGCATTTATTTTTGGAAACATGGCTTGTCTTCTTCCTATCAAGGCTTGTTGTCTTCTGTGCATCAGAGATTAATCATCAGATATTCGACTGAAGAAATTCATGTGCTACACTTTTGAAATGCAGGACCATAAATAAAAGCGTGGGGGGGAAAAATGTCTATGACTAATAATAGGAGGGGGGATAAAGACCAGCATTTTACCCATTGCAACAGGGATGTCAGTCCAGTTGAGAGCACATTTCTGGGTGCAGACTCCTTCCTCATTCAGGACAACCGTGAGATCATCCTGACCAACCGCCACTTTCCCGTCAGCCAGAGGGGCTACCAGCGGCTCCAGCTGCTTCCCTGTTGGGAACAGCTCTTTGATTGAGCCACGTCCATCCATCTAGCAAGGTAAAAGATAAAGGCCTTCATCTACTCTGTTCGACATGTTGAGTTCTGTAACTTTGATCCTTAGTGACAACTTGTGTGTATTGAGTTGACCTACCCGAATCAGATAGTAGTCACGCTTGAAACCCACACATATGGAATTTTCACACCAAGCCATGGACTTTGGAATATCTGGAGCGGCAAAATCTCCCTGTGAGACACAACATAATAGTACTTAAACTAAACAAAGACAGCGCCTCTATTCATTTAATTTAAGAACAAGTATTAATCACTGCCTTGGCATTTCCAAGCCCAAGCATACCTGCAATTCATGAAACTCCCTGTCCTTCCAGTAATATAGCTGTAGTTTCTTCTTGACAGCAACACACATCCGCAATTTTGCTTCACCTGAGCTGGACTGCTAAGGAGCACCGGTTAAACAGGTATATTTAACTGAGCATATATTTAACAATTTGAGAAGAAAAGGGCTCTAGCACGTTTGACATCCTTAATTCATTGCTAATACCATGCTTATACTAACAAGTTAAAAACAATAACAAGGACTGACAGTCTTTCAAGGTGCAGGAGAAAAGTAAGGGACAAAATAGCATTTGGCATTACATACTAGGGCAAATTCAACAAATTTTGTTTTCTTAAAATAAAATAAACAGAAAGAAATAATTGTAATTATTACATTATTGAAGCATTAAATATCACACTGCAAGAGAACTAAATTAAATAGTAATAAACTAGTGACTTCTCCTTACACACCTGCAGGTCACAGGCAAATAGGGTGGCTCCTTTGGCCTTTGATACTACAGTAATCTGCTGGAATGTGAGCAAGTCATGAACATGGATGTTGTTCTCTGAAACAAAACAAAAAAAAGATGTAACAATCAATATCAAATTATATTACAGGTGTTTTCCATAACAAAAGAAAATTACAGTAGGCCACTCCACTACAAACCCCATACAGTAAATAGAGTAAAGAAACTGGACTAAATATGCAGTGTCAAGAATAATAAATACAAAGGCTTACCCAACAGACTGACCAAAATCTTGTACTGGGACACAACAAACAGCTGATGGCAGAAAAGAGGATGATCAGAAGTGGAACCTTTGCATTACACAACACTGACAGTGATGAAAGAAGTTTACAACATGAAGCGGATTAATGTTTGCCTCAGACATTTATTCTGTTAAGAGAGCTTTCACAAACAAAAACTGAGTGCCCAGTTCATCTTCACACGCACCTGCTGGATCTTCTTCGAGAAGTTCTTGTTGGATTTCTCTAGCGTTACTTCAAATCTGTTCGTACCTGTGAGAGATGAATAAAGAACAAAACAGACAAACGTTGTCTGTTGATGATCACTAAAGTTAAGAATGATCAATAAAGCAATCAGCAATGAGTTTCAGTTCATACCTGCATCCTTTTTGATTCTGTAGAGGAGGAGGTGGCCTGGTTTTGTCCCCACAAGGAGCCAATCCTCTGCATAAACAATAACATCACATAGTATCAGATCTACATGGAGGACCACAAATCTGAATGGATTTGTATATGTGGCAAAACAGTTTTACTCCAATAAACCGATTGTATCAGATAGAAAAACAAATCCTTGCACCACAACATAACTCCAATCCTAGACACTGAAAAAGGATTGCTATTCAAGGGTTCTTTGGTAAAGGCAATGGTTCCATTTATAACCCTAGGGTGTACATAGAACCATTTTATGCCTAAACAGTTCTTTGCATGGTAAAATTGTTCTTCAGATTGATGGAGAATGCACTGCATCTGGTTATATATAGAACTTTCTTGAAAATGGTTCTATATAGCAGAAGAAATGTTCTATTGTTACAAACTTGACATTATACACTCTTTAAAAAAAAGGGTTCCTCAATTATTCTAGAAAAGGAAATGATTCAATCTAGAGCAAAGAGCTTTTTTTGCATGGTGAAATGGTTCTTCAGATTGATGGAGAATGTGCTTTACAGAACATCTTTGAAAATGATTCTACGTATCACGAAAAAGGGTTCTGCTTTTGTTACAGGCTTCACATCGTAACGTAACAACAGAAGAACACTTTACGGTGCTATATATAACCATATACAACACATTCTACAATCAATTTAAACATTAAACGGTTCTATACAGAACTCATGTTTCTAAATAGCTAAATAGAACCATTTCCTTAACGAAAGAACCGCTGAAGAAACATTTTTAAGCGTGTGGTGAGAATTAAATATGTTACTCGCTGAAAATGCCAGCGCTACCTAAAGGTGAAATGTTAAATGCAACTGCTAGCAAAGTTATTTGATACTGTGACATTACACACTCACGCTAACATGAAACAAGCTAGTGTTTACAACGTAAGTTGAGCATCCATTAAGAACAATGCAAGAATAAAAGTTAATCTTACCCCAGGCCGCGAGGCAGTCGATCTGGAGGGGCAGTTTTTCCAAAATAGGGACGGGTTCATACGCGTCGTGCATGGTGGCAGTGAGGATATCTGTGCTAATCTACCTGAAACGTCTAATCTTTAAAGAAAAGTGGAACTGGTCCGTTACGACCACATCTGTACCAGGAAGGAGGTGAACCGAAAACAAACGCCTAGCCAGCTAGCTAGCTAACTGCAGCAGAGCTGAGACCTGACAAACAGAAAGCTAAGCTAGCCTCACATTACACAGCCTGCCTGATTTTAGTCCAAACCCGTCCAGCCCATCATCCCCTGTTTGCACAAAGACTGGAAGAAGAAGGATAACCAGAAGTGGATCAATAAACAGATATAGAAAGCGCTAAAAGCGTAGCTTAGCTAGCTAGCTAGCTGACTAACCTAGCTACTGTGTGTGACTGTCATACTTTGGTCCCGCTGTCAACAAACCGCAACAACCACCTTTACATGAATAAAAAGTATTTCAGCCCATATTCTAATGCGAAGCCGTTCGGTTAAACCTCAGCTTTAACTGCTTGTTTTCATAAACCACCAAAGACCACCCAGACGCAGAAATACTGGCAAGTTCGAGGTCCTGACAGTTGATTTGCTAACTCGCTAACAGCTATGACTAACTCGTGAACGAATCGTTCTTTAGAACCGATTCTTTTCAGTAACTCGATCGAACCGGTTCACACGTCCAACTATGTCAAATCTTTTTTCTAGCACCTACAAAGTGTGTATGTGTTATATGACGGAGGATTCTTATAAGATACGAATACACATTTTCACACTCTAACCTCATAAAATCATCAAACTAATTCTAAGAGAGAATCGGCCTCTTTGAATTATCCTCGATATTTCTCTTAGGAACGTAGCCAGCTTTCTCTTTTTGTTTGTTTTGTGCATTCCAAATCTGACATCATACTCATTTGTTGAACTATATATTGTTGTACGTTAGTGAAATAAATAAAGTTGGCTCGATTTGGTAAAAATGAAGTTGAATCGGACCTCGATTCATTTAAACGGACCGCTCGCAGGAATCGGTTCGGTTAACTGAATCAAACTACCCACGGCTTCTCGCTCAGCTGTCTTCAAGCGCCGTGACAGGCACGTGATCCACGTCAAAGCTCACGAGAGCCGAATTACACATTACACTTAAGCCCTCACATACAGTGGGGCCAACGCTTGTATAAAACACTGCAGTTCAACCAAGCTGATAAGAATGTCCACCTCGTGGTCAGTATATAAACTATAACACAAAGGTACAACGATAAAGGTCAAAGTAAGTTTTATTTCACTCAGCTGTATCTCAACGACAGACACAAACACAGCAACCCACCCCTCCTCCCACATCACCAAAATAGTCATGTCCATGCATATTTTGACACTGACAAAGTTATTATTTTAGCTGCCTACTACAGCAGATTGGACTTGAAAATAAATAATGAAACTGAGCTAAAAGTGAAGGCGTTCAGCTTTGAGAGTATTTACCTTGAAATCAGGTGAACGGTGTACGATTTACAGCCATTTTCAGTCACAGTCCCACCATTTACAGGGGATCAAAAGTAACTGGACAGTTGTCTACTCAGTTGTTCCATGCCCAGATGTACGTTAGTCCCTCATCATTTTTACAAGTAAGCAGATAAAAGGTCTAAAGTTGCATTTCAACTCTGGCATTTGCATTTCGAATTTGTTGCTGTTAACTCTCAAAATAAAGCCCACAGAGCTGTCACTGCCAGTAAAGCAAGCCATCATTAGGCTGAAAAATCAAATCAAACCAATCAGAGAGATAGCCAAAACATTAGATATGACCAAATGAACTATTTGACACAATCTTTAAAAAGAAAGAATGCACTGGTGAGCTCAGAAACAACAAAAGGCCCAAAACACTACAGAAAACAACTGTGGTGCGTGACAGAGAAATTCTTTCCCTGGCAAATAAAAACACCAAGAAAACATAAAAAGCCTGTACAGTTCTGGAGCAACATCTCAGATGAGACATATCAACTTGTACCAGAACGATGGGAAGAGTATGGAGAAGGAACTGCTCATGATCCAAAGCATAATACCTCATCTGTCACACATGTTGGAGGTAGTGTTATGGTGTGGGCATGTATGGCTGCCAATAGAACTATCTGTATTGTATTTATTGATGATGTGACTGCTGACAAAAGCAGTAAAATGAATTCTGAAGTGTATAGGGCCACACTGTCTGCTCAGATGTAGCCAAATGCTTTAAAACTCATTGGACTGTGCTTAATAGTGCGGGTGGACAGTGACCTGAAGCATACCGTGAGAGCAACCCAAGGCAAAGAAGTGGAATGTCCTGCAATGGTCAAGTCAATCCCCTGACTCAATCCAATCAAGCATGCATTTAATTTACTGATGACAAAACTGAAGGTAAAATGCCCCAAGATCAAGCAAGAACTAAAGGCAGCTGCAATCAAGGCCTGGCAGAGCAACACCAGGAAAAAAACCCAGTGTCTGGTGATGTCTTTGGTCTCCAGGGTTCAGCCAGTCATTGATTGCAAAGGATTTGCAACCAAGTAAAAAAAAACAATTTATGATGATATTATATTAAATCTAAAAATTTGCACCTTAAGCTTAAATTCATTATTTAATTTCATTTCCAATATTCTATGGTAGACAGGTAAAATAACAGTAACTTTGTTGGTGTCCAAAGATTTATGGACCTGACTACAGCTAAGGCAATAAAATACAAAAAATATATGATATACAAAAAATTTCCACAAACCCCTTACACAGGGATTATTTTACTCTTAAAACATGGATTAGAAACTAAATAAACATGTTCAGTTTTTATTTCAAGTGACCTTATCCACAACAATAAAGGCAAGCTGTGTGCAAAAGAATTCTTCCAAAATAATTAAACCCATTAAAAAACCGTGACCAGTACTGTATAAAGTAACCAGTTTGCATTTTTGGCATGTATGCTAAGGCTAGGTAGTCAAACCCATCCATGCATGTTTGAGGAACAGCTGTAGGTCATTGGTTAGCAAAGTCTGCCACACCCCTAGAATCCCAGTGTTTCCCAGCAGTACAAAACAAAAAAAAAACCTAGAAGTAGAATAAAAGACCTATAGATAACACAGTAAACAGAAACATCAAGAAAAAGTAAACCTTCATTGGAGATTTTAAACCAAGCCTAGGACTCATTTCCACAGTTTGCCTCAGGCCAGAAACTGTCTCAGCTAACACAAATAAAAATCCCTGCTTCTAACCATGGCTTTTAATTAAGCAACATTTCACATCATTTTCCAAGTCCTCAGCTGCACTGATGAAATAACATTCTTGCTTCTTTGGCCTTATTCCAAGTCTACTCCATCTTGGACCTCTCCATCTTGGTTTTAAGAAGTTCCTGGTATGAGGAAGGATGACAGATAAAAGTAAGAGTAAGATCTGTTGAGTAATGCTACTGAGAAACATCTGACTGTGAGCATATAATGGAACAAAATGTGACCGTGATCATGAGACGCAGGAAAAAGAGTCACTTTACCTCCTCATCATCCAGCACTGCAGGCAAAGCTCTGTAAAAAATCCACCAAATTAGACGTACAATAAATAGGTGCACTTCCTTTAGTGAACAAAACTGAATACTGCAGAAAGCCACAATGCAGAACACTGAACGAGTGCCACTGTAGTACTGAAGCAAACAAGGTCAAAAATAAACATAGGCAAGAGAACAGCAGCAGATAGAAATCAAATGGTCTAAGTACATATTTAACTCCCAGTGAAGTAACAAAAATGTCACTCTTAAAGGGAAATTCACCAAGACAGGAGAAGGGGAATTTACCAAGGGTGGTGATAGGAACCAGACCTCTGACGCATTTAATGCCTTTGTGAGCTATATCACAGAAAGCTATTACATAAAACGGTTGTGAATACACTGCCTGATTTATCTATATTACACCATTACTAACATCACATATCAAACTCAGAAGATGTGTATGATACTGGTGTCTGCACAGATCTAAACTATTCAAACACTGTTCACACACCTCACACTATACCGAGTTCTTCATATATTCATACTAAGGTATCGAGTTGGTTGGCTTCTAACAGTTGTCACTGAGTGCGTTTACATGCACTTAATAATCTGATGACTGCAGATGACTGATTTTGTCAGTAATCCGATCAATGCGTTTATATGCACTTGAGTAATCAGATAAAGGGGAAACTCTGGGTCTACATGAGTCAGGCAGTAATCGGATTTCTGCTTTGCAACTAGCCAATAAGCTCGCAGAAGAAGACGTGACGTAAACGTAATGTAAATTAAAGCTTCATGTCGCAGCTTCATGTCACACACCACTTTACCTGAAAATATGAACATACATCACATAGAACACAAAGAATAAAGTAACAGAGACTGGTTATAATAGAGCTATTTCTTAGTTGTTACTCTGATAGGCCTCTAACAGTAGTCATCAGTTATCATTGGTTAATCAAAATACTTCTGTCCAGTGACAGCCTCTCAAGGTTTCTTCCTCTTGCTCGTAAGGAGTTTTTCCTTGGCACTGTCACCCTTGGCTTGCTCATTTGGGGATGGACCCAGATTTCTGTAAAGCTGATTTGTGAGAACATCTGTTGTAAAAACCGCTATATAAATAAACCTTGACTTTAACTGAATCTTAAATAGGCTCACTGATCATTTTAGAAAGAAAAAATGGCCATATATGTGTTATAGTCACCACAACCCCTGGTTCCGAAAATCTGAGCTGGTAAGTTTCTCTATAATGCACAATTTCACCATTTAAAAACACTCTGAGTGATGTTTACATTTCAATGATTAAATGATTTTGAAAAAAAACAGTAGAATTCCCCTTGTTCTTGTTCTTGAACAAAAACTCATTCACTGAAACAAAATGAGAAAACTGGAAGACTAGTATTTCTTCCACTGTGTATCTGTACATTGTGCTTGCCTTTCTTTATTTTGGTTACAAAATACTGGATACATTTTCATATTATGCCAAAGCACTTCCAGTGGAGGTATACTCACACGTCGATTACAGTTGTAGGGACGTTATCTTCCACCCACTTCAGGTCATCATCTTGTGAACTCTATAGGACACACAGCAGCAAAAAAAGCAATCAGAGCAGAATGACTCATTTGAGAAGTCTGGAAAATCAGCTTAACTTGCTCACTGACTGCACAAACTGTCTTAAATAAACTTTATAAACTACTGTCTACAAAGAGTACTCAAATTTGCATACAATGTGTAAATCAAATGCATCATCCTCACCTCTTTGCCGAGGGGTTTCTGACTGCTGTGTGTCTCTGACTTTGCCCCTCTCATTTTCATTCCCTCTGAAAATAGAAGCCAAGATTACATTACAAAAAGCTAGCCGTCCAAAGAACCCACATCTCTGTTTAAAATGCAGACAGTATTGTTTATTCTGCATTTTTAAAATGGAATGCACCCAATACCACTGGACTGAATTACATAAACAACTGTGTGTTGTTTATGTGTTCTCTATGCGTAGTGCCTAAAAATCAAACCTCAAACAGCATGTGAATAATATTTATTGTTTCTTTGGCTGAAAGAAGCTCTATAATGATCTTACCAAAGGCTTCATTGAGCATAGGCTCCTTTGCATCATCATCCTCATCATCCTCCTCATCAATGAGCGGAGAATGAGAAAATCTGAATAGAGAATATTGTCATTTTGCATTTTCCACACACTCACTTGGATACAGATACAATCACACAAGGGTCTTACATTTACCCCAGGACAGGTTCTGAGTTATGAGTTATATATATATATATATATATATATATAAGTAGAAGTTGTTTAAAAGCCACTGTTGGTGCAGTGCCTTCCATACATGATCATAAAGTATTACAATTAATTCTGCTAACCTCTGACTATTGACAGAGGGTCGTAACAGCACCATGATGACCAGCAAGATGGTGGAGAAGAGCAGCCTCCAGAAAGCATCATCCACCCACATTTCTCTCCAAGCCTGATAAACCACAAACAGAAACTATTAAGAAACTACTGCAGGGGTCAGAAACTATTATAGACAGAGAATAATTTTGCCATAATATCACTTGGGAATATGTCCTACTCACTGACTGACAGTCCACAAACTTGAATTGTTTAGTTGTCCAGATGATGAATATGATGGATGCTGTACGTATTTGTAAGCACAATATTGAGTAGAATGTTAGTGCAAAGCATTAGCATGATACATACAGTAGCGTGCAAAAGTTAAAGACCACCTTTCATTTAATTAATTTTCATGTTAAAATGGCCATTATGTCCAACTGATTCATTTTTCAACATCATCAGCAGCTTCATTACAGCTTCCACTCTTTTCAGAAGACTTACTTTCAGATTTTTTCAGATAATCTGCAGGGATATTTTTCCACACATCCAAAGTTCAGTCTTAGAAATTGGTTCCATTTTCTGCTTCTCGTGATCAAATTAACCTCAAAACACTCAATATTGAGGTCTGGGCTGTCCTGAGGTGGATAGAGCATTGTTGTTCTTTTTTGTATTTTAATTGTATTATTTTGACTTTACCCATCATTATGCAAGTAGATTAAACGAACGTAAAAATATCGTTTATGTAAAGTGGGAATTAAATAAACGAAGGGTGGTCACAGATGTTTGCACAATGCCGTATTTATAAACCTCTTTCATACATGTGATGCTTGCTCTCTCTCTCACGTACACACACACACACACACACACACACACACACACACACACACACACACACATTCCTTACCCAGCACAGAGAATATGAGGGTATTGGTGAAGTGCTGGTATAATGAGAGCTTCACCACATTTCTGCGTAGCTTCAGGAGCCGAGTCGTCTGAGATAAACTGATGAAAACGTGCAAGCCAACTGTTAAGGACTCACAAGCAGTGGACAAAATAAAGAAAATAAGGCCATATATTAAACAGATCTAAAAGTCTCAATTAAAATTATAATTGATTTAAAAGGAAAAAAATAGGATTGTACATCACTGGAAAAAAAGAAATATGGCATGTTGAATAATGTTTTAGTCAAAAGATTCCTGACTTCACACTGCACACCATCACTGTCATTCCATCAGCAGCACACGAGTTAATTTACTAAAAGACTGATTGGTATTTGATGGTGACTGTTAATTCGGGGCTTCTTTGAGGACAGATTTGGAAATGGTTAAGCTAACTCACACACACACACATAAAATCACAGTGTTATATATTTGTCTATTCATATTTGTTCTAATAGTAGTTTTTTTTGGATAATAAATGCTTACTGCCCAAATAAAATACTTTATAGATCATTTTCTTAGATGCCCATGACTTTTGCACAGTACTGTTTATCAGCATTCTAAGAACAAGCGATGCATTGCTGAAGACATAAAAAAACTGGTTACTGATCTAGCCATTAAATCATTGGCAGGCCTTTGGCAAAAGGATATCCACCACATGACACAGGAATCAATAAGAGAGAGACTGAGATTTGCAATAAGAGCCACTGTGCCGCTGAAACCCTGCACAAACAGAATAGTAAGAAACACATACACACAAAAAAAAGTCAGAAACACATATACTCAGTCACAGTACGTACTGGAAAAATACAAACACAAATTATCTACAAAATAACTCCAAAAGCAAACGCTAACATCACTCACCCCTGTTACCCTGAGGACGCCCTCTACTGAGGAGAAGATCAGATAAAGCAGACCTACAGCCACCAGCCTGGGCACTGTAGTACCCAACCTAGGTCTGAGAGCAAGAGAGAGAGAGAGAAAGAATATTGAAAAGCAGTCTTAAAACATGCACACATTATGTTTCTCATTTCCACAATAAACACAAAACAACTACTTTCAGGAACACTTTCACTATTCCAGCTATAAAATGAATTATTACAGCAATAAAAAGCAGCAGCTCTGGAGAGAAATGCTTTATGAGATACTCAGATTGAACTGAGCAAACTGCTGTGTGTTGTCACAGTGAGATGTAATCATTTCCAAACTTGCTGGAGTTTGAACTATGGGCAGCTCTTACCTGACAATACCGTAGCCCAGACTGACTATGAGCACCAGGATTCGAGCTAGAGATCTCTTCAGTGCAGACAACAGCTCACCAAAGATAACAGCACGTTGGTCTGGAAATTAGGAGACAGACAGCAATTCCCTCTGTACCTTAAACATACTCAGTCAAATTTTGCCTTAGTATGTGATGATTTAAGCAAGCAGTTTATACTATCACTACTACTACTACTTACTAATGAGTTTGTTTTAATAAATTACTGATGAGTTACATTAGACTCAAAAATAAAGAAGCAACCTCAGATACCAATATGCCCTGGCTGATGTACTACATTTGAACAAAGGATTTTTTTTTTGCCTAACCATTCCTTTAAAACATAAATATCTTTATGAAAGTCAAAATAGCCCTTTACTACTCTATACCCTACACACTAAACACTAAACACCAAAAAAGAAGACAATGACAGTTAAACCACTAACTGAAGTCTCCGCTATATCGGATGCTCTGGTACTCAGAGTAGAAGACAGCCTTCTCCAGCATGCCCAGGATGATGACAGCACCAATCCAGAACTGGATCCTGAGCAGGTCTCGCCAGTAACAGACCAGCCAGAGAAGCCACAGAGCTCCAAACAGCACGTACACGATGCACATGACCATGAAGAACTGCAACAAACAGCCAGATTTCAGCAATGCCTTTTTTGGCCTCACTGGAACTTGTTAACACTGATGAAATGTCAGTCTGTCAAAATGTGTTTGGTGTCTGAAGTTGGTTTCTTTAGTTCTAACTGAAGCCTAATGTAGCTAACAAACTGCATTTTTTTCTGATATGTTGCTGTGTAGCTGTGTTTCTACGTGCTTCTTCTTTAATTCTATATTATATACTATGCTGTACAAATTCCTTTATACAGCATCTTGAAATATTGTTCCTATAATATATACATATACAGACAAGAGTACAGACAGCCTTCAAGGTGGCTGCTACCACTGTTAATAAATAAAAATAGAGAAAAGTGTGTCACACAGAACTCACTTATCACTTAAGTCTACTACTAAATGTGGTTTGTAATTTGGCAGGTAATTTGCATGAAGCTACTTGTGCTCATAAGCTTCAATTATGGTTTAGCTAGAGTCCAACTTTATCCACGAAGAGGGCAGTTTTGGTTTTCAGGTTTTCATTCCAACAAAGCAGGAGCACACATCATTAACTCTCTGAAGTGACAAAACATGTAGAATCAGATGTGCTGCTGCTCATTTGGAATGAAAACCTGCAGCCACACTGGTGTTTGTGGATAAGACTGGACAGGCCTGATTTAGATAGTAGATCTAGCACAAAACTAAACAAAAGCACCTCAGAAACACCAAACATGTCTTTGCTGATCGACTGCATTTGAAGTAAAGAGAAAACTGCAAATCAGATTTTGTGCCAAACTATTGCTTTAACATGAAATGCTTGTTGCTTATGTTAAGTGTGCAACTAAGGAGAATATTCCATGTAGAGGGATAGTAGAAATGGGTGAACGTTTGTGTGAAATGTTTTGATTCTTTTGAAACCCTCATGTTCAAAACAGAACATGCATGTTCTCCATTACGGAGTCATTACGTTCTGGATTCAGCTCCCCGGACTAAAAATTAGTCACCCTGCATGTTTAAGGTGGTAGTACCTTCTGCTCCTGCAGATGACGCTGCACAAGAATGATCAGGCTATAAATACCTGTGGGGTATGCGACGGGATTCATAGATTGAGAAGAGGTGGTACAGTGCAGTGAATGTCTCATTCAATGTGTGGAAAATGGGTTGCAAAGCATATGATAATTTTAACAAATGAATTTGCAGGTGTATCAAAGTGTACAGTCATATGGGTCTACCAGCAGTGGCAAACATCCCAGTCCACAAGAAATTCTGAACAGAATTGTGGCCGAAAGACGAAACTGATGGACAGGGACCTCTGGCATGTCTCGTGGCTTGTGAATAAAAACTGCTTCACTTCCAGGCAAGAATTGCTTCTAGAAGTCAACGCAGATCCTCCACAACCAATTTCTGAAAGAACACTCCGCAGGGAACTGCATACCATGAACATATGGAGCAGATTGGCATGCAACAGGCCTCACTTCTGCTCACAAAGTTGTCCGATTACAGTGGGTGAAGAGACACAAAAATTGGACTATTCATGACTAGAAATGTGTTATCTGGTCGGATGAATCTCGTTTCTGCCTGTATGTGAATGATGCTAGACATCGTGTTCATCGTAGACCTCAGGAAGCCTTCCCTGAGGACTGCATGCAAGGTGTGGTTCAGGCCGGAGGAGGCTCTGTGATATTCTGGGGGTGTTTTAATTATGCGGAAATGGGTCCTCTGGTTGAAGTGACTGTAAATTTGAACCACACTGAGCTGCTGGACAACCAGATTTTGCCTTTTGCTCATCATCTTACTGAGGAACATAACATTCCTGTCCCTGTATTCCAAGATGACAATTCTTGCATTCACAGGGCTGCAGATGTGACTGACTGGCATGATGAACATTCAGGAGCTTTCACACATCTGGACTGGCACACAAGATCCCCAGATTTGAATCCTCTTAAAAATCTGTGGGACTACCTGGAACAACGAGTAAGACGCCAGGGAAGGCATCCACGAAATCTGGCCGAACTGCGCAATTCTTTAATGCAAGAGTGGCTGAACATTGACGTCGCCTACATTCAGAAACTTGTCCAGTCCACGGCAAATCAAATCACAGCTGTTATTCATGCTCGTGCTTGTGGAGATATTACACGCTATTAGGTATGTTTCAGGCACAGGTGACTAATTTTTTGTGTGGTGAGCTTATATGGTGTATGTGCATTACTAATAACTCATAAATGGGCTCTATTCTTGGCACAGACATAAGTATATAATGACCAGAAGTGAAACTGAATGCATTATGATCTCAAATGAGAAGTCAGTTCGCACCAAATATATGAAAATTTCTGATAGCACTTGTGTGACGTCAAGTCACATGTGAACGAAACAGTTCAAATGTTTCAGAGTAATCACCACTAAGAAGGAGGAGATGGTGTTGCTCTCTGACAGTTTCAAAGCGGCGAAACACTCCATATTATTTGACACAGACAGCACTCACCATCATTAGAGGCCAGTCAGCAGGTGAAGAGTATTCATGAGGACCCTTCACTTTTACAATCACTGCAAAGACAGACACACAGAAATGGACAGACATGCATACATGGAGCCTTAGTTATCAGGATTTTTAAAGGTATGTATGCACTGTAAGTAGACTAGAAGAGGTTACTGTAAAATGGGTCCTTTACTTCTAACTGAAAAATGCTCCAGTGAATCACTGGAAACATCGCTGTCCTCTGTCTGTCTGCGCCCTCTACTGGCCTCAGGACGTGCTTCTGGTTGAAACCTGACGATGAACATGTAGGGGCTGTTCGACCACGACTGGGCAACTGCAGCCTCCTGAGTGGGGCATAATGGAAAATGAGATCATAAGATGAGCAAATGAGTTCATAAGATCTAATAATAATAAAACCACATTTAATTTAGTATGAGTAAACAACCTTTTATGCTTTATTAGGATTCTTTTTTTTTCATACTTGGATTTACTACAGCTCTGTAAGTGTATATGTCAAAAGCTTATTGCCAAATACAGATTTAATACAAATTTATTAAAATACTGCGATTAAAATTAACAAAAAAAACATATAAAAAGAACATAAAAAGTTTCAGCGAGGTGTGTTTAAGAAGGCTCTCACCAGTTTGTTCTCCCACACATTTCCTGTTTGGTTTGTAGGCTTGTCTTCCTATGAGCAACAATGAGTTGTGAGAGCTGGACAGTAAACAGCTTTTCTTTCTCCATGCAAATGTAATACAAATGCAGTTTTAACACTGCTACCAATTATGAAATTCTTTATTTTACAACAAAATAAGCTTACATCTATGTGATATTAGCAAAAAATGTGTTAAATCCGAAGGAAACATTGTACAAGCAATAAACAAACTGCTGAGTGCTTACTTGACCACTGAGAGGCAGAACTGGCTGGAATTCTTTATAATAAACCTAGAGAGGACAAAGACACACACACACACACTGCATCTGTATGTAATAATGCACCTAAAATAGTTCATTTTTCCTATTTAACTTGTCATTTACATGGCAAAGTTCACTTGAAAACATTCTTCTTAATGTGACCATGTCAGAGACGTCATTACATACGAGTGTATAACCCCACAGCACACTTTTAAATAGCAACTATATAAATATCCACGAGTAGAATCTCAGTGTTGTATCTGTAATATCTACCAGTAACAGGATGGGACAACAGCTGATGTTTCCAAACATATTCATCCTTTATAAAGCTGCAGAATACAAACCCTTTCACTAGACAGTGAATTACTGGCCTTCAAACACTGTTCCAGTCACAATGTACACAAAACTACCTTTTACCTTTACAAATACACAACATGTCCGAAGGCTTCTACTCATTCAATGTTTATTCTGAAATAAAGGGTATTAATAGCAAATTCATATTAGTGTCTTGCTTGCTTCAAAGTAGCTTGGCAACATACATACAAACCCAATTACAAAAGTTCGCACTGTTAGAAATGCAAATAAAAATGATATATTTTTTTAACTGTGTGGGCTAACTAGTGAGTCAGCACAGACCTTTTGCGTGAATAGAGATGAGCAGTTTTCGAAGTAGATGTAGCCCTGACTGTAGAAACCAGTCCAGTCCTCCTTCAGCCTCTGATGCATACCAAACATGTTCTTTGCAGTGTTGTCCTACAGGGGGATGAACAAAGACTTAGTATTACTATCTTAGTTAATAAGATGGTATTTTACCTCAAAGTCAGCATGAGGAACTCAGAACTAATTTCCTTTATTCACACTTTATACATGGGGCACTTATGGTTACAATACAATTCACATTAATCTAGCTGTTTAATCTACTGAATTATTAAAAAAAAAAAACCTACCGAATTGTGAAACATGATAAAACCCAAAAAACTTTTTTTTTTTTTAACACAAGTTACTTAACATTCATACTCTTGGGAGAGTTGTCGTCTTAGGAAATAATCATTTGAATACTTAAATATTTGTTCACTATGTTGACATCCGTTCCTCTATTTATAACTGGGAAGCTTTGCTTTTTTCTTCCACAAAAACTGTAGCATAAGAAAGGCCCACAAATTATGTAGATGTTATTGTAAATAACAATCTTACCATGTATTTACTCTTTCTTACAATCAATTTAGCACTGAATAAGTACGATATAGGGCATATTTGTGGGTTGTGTCACAACAAAGGAAGAATACATGACATGTAAACCATTACTGTCTTTACTTGTAGTATGCAACATCTATGCTCCTGGTGGCTTAGTCCATGTCATATGTTTAGCATTCAGGGTTCTAGATACATACTTACCCAGCAGAGTAAGTAGGACATGCCTTATTTTTTTATCAACATTTTGTTAAAGGCTCCATTACTGGAAAATGAGACCAATTTTTTTTTAACTGAGACTGACCTTTACCACACCTAAACCTAATTATCTGCAAGCCACGCTATAAGGAGCCCAGTCCTGCTGCCATATTTGATTTAGCCACACCCAGAGTGTGTCAGGAGTGACTCTGTTCTACCACTTCCTGATTGAGGTTTCAAGTATACAAAGTTGAGGCTTTTGTACACAGGGTGATGGTCAGCATACTTACAGGGGTGTTGAATACTTCATTATAGCAGATGGAGGAACGAAGATACCAGCTAACATTAAAGGCCATTTTATGTTTTTTCTCCTCACATGCTGCCTGATCTCCCTGAACTGTACAGAAATGAAAAGGAAAGACTACAGTTATTCAGATTCAGCAGTTTTTTTAAACATATTAAACATAATAACTGTTATGATTTGTAAATAAGACAGGAAATGGAATTCCAAAAGTAATGGACCTTTTAAGGCCCTAGTCAATTTCAGGACTGATTATTTATTTATTTGCCATTTCAAGGCATAATGTTCTGTTTCTCACAGTGACTGTGAAATTAATACCATCTTGGATTCCAGGAAGGTTGTTAATTTGATTCCATTTTTTCTGGGGAAACTTGTTTTATCGATGTGCATACAAAGATAACATTGATTGTTTACATGTAAAACATCTATATAGGAATAATTATAAAGTTGCTCTTCAAAGATCAAGTCCAGTGAAAACTTGTCCAGAACTCACATTCCATGAAGATTGTGCTGTTGGGATATAAGGTCTTACGAAAAACGACCTCTTTATGCTGAAAACAGATACATACAAATTAATTTTGAAAACCTTTTTACAACTGTTTTATTCATAAATATAAAAAATACACAAATCTAATTCCAAAGAAGTTTTAACAGTATGTGAAATGCTGTACAAAAACACCATATTTCATGATTTACCTTAGGGACTTCATTGTTTTTTGTAAATATATGCTCATTCCAAATTTGATGCCTGCAATACATTTCAAAAAAGTTGGGACAGTGTTTACCAGTGCTGGATAGGTAACATATCCTTTTCTTTTAACAGTGCTTAATAAATAAACAATAAAAAAATATATAAATGCTTGGGGACTGAAAATACTAACTGATCAAGTTTTGAAAGTGAAATTTTTTGCCATTCATCCATTATACAAGTCGTCAGCTATGCAACCGTGAAAGGCCTTTGTCATATTTTTTGCTTAATAAGACACACATTTTCCATAGAAACAGTTCTGGACTGCAAACAGGCCAGTCTAACACCCGCACTCTCCGATTATGCAGCCATTCTGTTTTAACACATGCAGAAAGTGGCTCGGTGTTGTCATGTTGAAGTAACCATGGGTGTCCCTGAAGAAGACAGCATCTAAAACGCAGCATACGTTGCTTTAAATGTATTCAGTGTTAATGGTGATTTCACAGATGCAAGCTACCCACTAATTACCCCCCAAACCATGACAAACCCTTGTTTTTTGAACTTTGCACTGGTAACAATCTAGATGACACTTTTCTTCTTTGGCTCAGAGAACCACAGCGTTCTTTGTTTCCATAAACAACTGAAACTGAAAGGTTGACTTGTTGTATCACAATTCATGGTTCCTCTGAGCATCAGTCCATTCCAGCTAAGCTCAAGCCCTAAAAAGTCACCAGTGTTATTCTGGACGTTATTGACATATGGCGCTTTGCAAGTGTTGCATTTGTGGATGCAGTGATGACAATATATTTTCAAAATATTTCCGAGCCTATGCGGCGATATCCATCACAGAAACATGCCTATTTTTAATGCAGTGGCATCTGAGGGGTTGCAGATCATGGACACTGATATGTGGTTTTCGATCTTGTCCTTTGTGCATGAAGATAATGCATTTTTTGCAAAGTGGCGGGTCTCGACACATCCTTTACTTATAAAGGACTAGGCCTTTCCCCAGATGCTCCTTTTATATCCAAGCATGACTGCATTTAAGATGTTATTTAAACATTTCACAGTGTACCTAGTCTTAAATTGCTATTCCCAACTTTTTTGGAACGTGTTGCAAGCAGAATGAATGGATATGAGCAGCAGAATGAATATTAAAAAAAAGAAGATAAAAAAAGTTGATAAGGTAAAACAATACATATCCTGTCTTTGTACTGGTTTGTTCAAATACAGGTCAACATTGATTTATAAATCACTGCTTTCTGTTTTTATTTGCATTTTTCCCACTGTTCCAACTTCTTTTGGAATTGGGTTTGTAACAGTATGGATATCTCACCATGGTTTAAACCACTTTACACTAGCATTCAAATGCTTGGCATCACAATTCAAAAGATCGGGATCATAGTTTTCAATAAAATGAAAAAAATTAATAAAACAACATGCTGCAGTTGCTTGATTAGATATGGATGCTCTTGTACTACAACTTTGTAAGAATAAGATGCTGTGAAAACAGTAGAAATGTTAGAGCTGAACAGAGCTGTCGATGTTTTTAAAATGACTGAGACAGCTGCAAAAAAATTGAAGAATGAAGTTACGCTAAATTAACATCCAGACGCTTGTATTGTAAAAAGTGATGGTCAGATTGGTCAAACCTCAAGCAGATAACTTCTCAAGAAATTCTTATAAGAGTTACATTATATTATTGACCATTTATGCCCCCCAAAAACCTGAAATATTAAATAAACATCTTGACATTCCTTCTGGTGTCTAGTTTACGATATTTAATTCTACACTGTATAAGTTAAAAACCTCTGTTGTTCAAAAAGTTCTTGGAGCCTGAACAATTAAATGCTTTAATCTCACGGGGCTATCTGTTCACAGTGCTGACACAGGTCAGGGGTCAGAGTGCACTAGATTAATGTAGATTTCACTATTTACATGATGTAAGAGGGCAGAATTTGAGCAGCAGCTGCCCTGCCGCAGTTAACAGCTGATTACAAAAGCATGAGGTTTGTGTATAAGTGCACACTCGAAAAGTTGAGTTAAAGTTATCCCTGCGTCCTGACAGAGAAATCAGAACAGAGAGGTTGTCAACGTGTTGGTTCTTCCAGTGTTCAACGCCTCTGAGGCAAATACGTGTTCTGAAGTCCTTCACTGAGCGCTTCAGCTGTTTCCGAGTAGGACTCGGTCAAGAACCAGAGACCGAGCAGCAGGAAGGACAACCCTGATTCATTTTACCACATAAGTTAATTATCCAGCTTTTCTTAAACTGAATCAGGTGTGATACAGCAAAACATAATCACACAAAACATCACAACTGTACGCTACAGTGACCCTGACTGGAACTGCCTTTACATTGTGATCCTTTCGCATCCGGAAATATAAACAGGAATTACAGGAATTGAAGATGCACACTGTTGTAGCAGCTAGCTGGCTAGCAGACAGACGCTAAAGTGTTAAAATATCCTACCGGCTAATCGTTATCTGTGTGTATCTTCACACTTACCAAATTAACATCTACATTCCACAAGGAAACCTCTGCCCCAAATGAACGGCATAACGATGATAACAGTAAAGACGACAGAAACACCGAAGCATATGTCATCTTCCCACAGTCAAACAGTACCGAGTGCCGCCCCCACCACGACACAAGAAGGAGGCGGTACCGTCACCTGTGAGGAAACCGCTCTCAGCCAATCAGAGAGCCAGCAGCGACACGCAGAAGGGGAAAAAGGTCAGAAATACTGCATTTGAAATGGTTCATTCGTTTACTTTCTCCACATGCCGATCATAGGAAAAAGCGCGTGCACGTGTAGTTCTTTGAAAAGCAGTACAGTTTGCAAGCTTGGCTAGTTGAATCCTGCTCTTGTTCTCTGATTGGCTGATTGAGTATTGCTCTCTGACTGGGTAGTTCAAAACTGCACTCTGATTGGTTGATTGAATCCCGAACTCTGATTGGGTAGTGGAATCTTGTACTGAATTTTGTATTCTGACTCTTCTATTTTTATTAAATCTTGCTCTCTGGTTGGTTGACTGAATCCTGTTCTCTGATTGGCTTGTTGAATCTTTCACTATGATTAGTTCATTGAATCCTGTACTCTGATTGGCGAATTGAATTCTGTACTCTGATTAGTTGAATCTTGCACTCTGATTTGCTAGTTGAGTCCTGCACTCTAATTGGTTAAAGGAATTGGTTGACTCTTGAAGTCTGATTGGCTATTTGTCTCTCGTACTCTGACTGATTGAATTCTGCTCTCTAATTAGCTAATTGTATCCTACTCCCTGATTGGTTAATTGTTTCATGCTGTGTGATTGGGTAGTTGAATATTGCGCTTTAATTGATTGGTCGATTCATTCATTCATTCATTCATTCATTGAATCTTGTACTCTGTTCACATGCAGTTCCCTGTTATCAGGTGTTGTAGTTATCAATCTTGGACTTCTTTAATTTTCCCTTATTAACTTTAAGGGGCAGAATTACATTCAGGGTTACCTTTGTGCGCTTTGAGCAGCTTTTGCTTTCTGCTCAAAGCTCCTCCCATTTCATTTCCATTGGTCCAGGGGTGGAGTCAGACCTGATCCAGCTCCTCTCACGTCATCGAACATGAGGAATATTTCTGAAAGTGCAACAGACCAATGTTTCTCAACTCTGGTCCTGGAGGCCCACTGCCCAGCACATTTTTTAGTGTTTTTTGTGCTCACAACACACCTTATCCAACTAATCAGCTCATTAACAGCCATTGTTGAGGTAAGGTGGCTGTGTCAAAGCAGGAAAAGCACTAAAATGTGCAGGACAGTGGGCCTCCAGAACCAGGGTTGAGAAACACTGTAGTAGACTCAATACTGATGGCTTGAAACTGCTTTTATAGACTATTTGTTTCTAATCTAAATTAATAAAAGTTTTAGCTGTATGTGTAAGCAATATGTATAGTACACTATTAGAAATAAAGGTACTGTGTGGATGCATTTTTTGTTCATCAAGGTACAAACAACGTAAATGTACTCTCAAAGATAGAACAATGATTTTAAGGTCCAATTGCGTAACTTAAATAAGTTTTTCAAAAGTGAAAAGTATGTATTTGTACCTTTTCATACCCTCATGTTTCAAAACAGAACAATAAAATAAAAAGCCTGGAGACAAGACGGAGTGTGTGGAGTCAATACAACTTGGAAAATATAATTCAATGGATTATGGTACAGTTATGTTCCCTGACTAAAGGTAGTGAGAAGTACCCTTCAGGGTACCACCCCACTGACAAAAGGGGTACTGCCCCAGTGACAGTTTCATACATTTATTTATGAGAGTGTAGGGCTTTGCTTAGGACCTCAAAACATTCAGAAGCAAAAATGATTTCAGTCTCCTGTTTGAAACAACTTGAAAAGTGTACTAACTTCTACTCTTCTTCTTGACATGCACTGCTGCAAAGTTCCACCAGAGGAGGCAGTTGGGAAGACTGCAGAATTCACCCTGAAACTAAGAAATGTGATTTTCATGGATTATAGATGTTCAGATGATGAGAACAAAAATGTTTGTTTTTTTTTCTCATCTAGGCATCTGGGCTATACGGTGTTCATGTTCTCACAACAATGTGGTCTGGGCTGTAGTCATTTATTGTGTTTTGGATAGTATGGTTAAAACTCAGAAACAGTGTAATACACAAAGTATGTGCTGAATGTTTGAAATTCAACACCAAAGGTCTGTGTAAGCAGACTCTCCCAACTGGAAATACACCCTACCAGACAAAACGACATGATATTAAAAATATACAGAGTTTTATCACATTGTTTAGGCAGATCTTACATATTGTCCGTGGGAATGTCTGGAATAGAGGCTGAATAACACTTGTTGGTTATTTGCAGAGTCTCATCTAAAGCAACACATGATGCCCAAGTAAAATATTAATCTTTAACTGTGCAGATGGTTCAAAACAAAGCAAGCAGCAGCAATTATAAAGCATTACAAAGTATTGTGAAGGCCTACAGGAAGTAATGCTGAGCATTAAATGGGATCAGGGAAATGTGTTAGCCCACTCCTGTGGAACACTGGGAGAGTGTTTCGAATGATTTTTTTATGGGTGCGGTGATGAAACACAGGAAAGCAACAGGGAGTGGATACCCTTTTCAGCTTTCAGCTCGAGCAGAGTAGCTGTTATTTTTTCCAGTATAGCAGATATGGACACAGAGCGCCACTATGCAGGACCAAAACTTGACCATAAAGCCTCCAATGAATATGGTGAGCGGTTGCAGGGTTTATGTTGTTTTTGGTTGCGATGTATTTTAAATCACACTGAATTTGAATAATTCGAAAACCACTGGCTGCAATGTGCTCATCCATCATTTCTTCTGTTTTGTGTCTCAAGTCTGTTGAAGAGCAGGCCCGCATGCTCAGCTTCTGAGCAGTTCCTGGACTGCGTACTGGACGGTGTAGTGGCAAAACCGGACGTGAGAATGGGAAAGCTCAGCGGTCAGGTCTGAGAGCCTGCCCCCAGACTCACTCACATGCTGAGGGCTATAAGCGAGGGAATAGTGGTTAAATATAGCTTAGCAGAGCAGCACAGCCTACAAGTTCTCACTGCGGGAGAACAATCACAGAGTGGGCGCGCACAGTGCTCAGTGGACTCCTAGCAAAGCTACATCTTTTATTAAGCTGAAGAACCTCTATTGTTGGAACAGAGTTATAGGTTTTCTCGAAGGAGACACTATTGTGCTGCCTCCTCTGCATTCTGTCCTTTCTCGGCAGCTAGCGTGACTCCCTCTGGCTCTTGCTCTCTTTACAGTCTCTCTCACAGACATAGATAAGGGCTTTCTGCTACCCTCCCAGCTGCTGCTTCTTTGGTTAGCTCATGGCCTGAAAGGAGAGAGAGCGGGAGCGCGAGAGTGAATGTGTTTAGACACCTGTTCTGTGTAACATTACATTACCTTTGCGACTTCACTTGGTGAACTGGAGAGAGTGTTGTGGGGAACCACTGTGCATCTGCTCTTTGATGTTGCTAGTTGTTCTGATGGAATGCTAATGAGAAGATACCAGGAACCTCTTTAGCAAGGACCTTACTTCTATCAAAGGATTATCTTCACTGAAGGCTCAGGGACCATTGTGGGTAAGTGTAAATATCTATGAATATCAATGAATCTCTGTGAATATCTACGAATATCTATGAATTTAAGGTGTAAGATATTTGTGGAATGCTGACATATAATTTGACATCATTCATGTTTTATTGTTGCTTTTGTGAATAATTAAAATCCTTGTCTTAGAACATATGATAGATGAATATCTGTCTAAAATTGTTCTGCTAATTTGTAGATGGAAGAGAGGTGCAATGAGGAGATGCACTATACTTTTGCCTATTCATATTTTTATCCTTACTGATATCACTCAGGTGACTACATCACCTCTTGCTGAACGAAGAGCTGATAAATGAATAGCTAGCTAGTGAGATCATTGCTCTGTTTTGACTGGTGAGTATGACAGCATGAAAGAACAGCTCTTTTCCCGTAGAGAATACAAAACAGTCATCAATGTATGAAGTGCACGTAGGCTTCTCTGGTTTAATGTGCTGATATTCAAATCTCTGCAAAACATAACACAAAGAGTATAATATACAAACAGAGGCAAGTTACTTCTAATTCTGTCCCAGTGTTGGGGATTAAATTACAAAAGGCTGGTCATTTGCCCTTGCTCTTCATGCCCACACCAGTTGCTGTATCCCTCCCTGACTGTCTTTACGATCTCCAGGCTTGACTGTAAAACTGTTAGCCTTTTGACACTGTACCCAGGGAGGGGGTGGATGGGGGATTCTGGGGGGGGGGCGGTGGCTCTGGGAAGTGGGGCATTGAGTAGAGCTTCAGCAGCAGGGCTGATACTCAAGCTCAGCGCCTGTGTGGTGCCAGAAAGCATACAATACCAGCTCCCAAAGGCCTGATCTTACCCAGCAACAGTTGTCACTGACACATATGGTCCATATGAAGCTGCTTACAGTTATGGCAGAACTACAGCACTGTGCTGATGGACTTTCTTTCTAAAAGCAGTTTACAAAAATCCATAGGAATGTTAACATGGGGCACACAGTACATTTCCTACACTAACTTACATAGCAGCTTGCCTGTAATCATGCATTTGCCCTAAATAGGCAGCATTGTCTGTAATAACCTGAATGGACATGTTTAAGTATTAGTCTGTAAGTTACAGGAAAACACTCTTCACCAAAGCTGACAGAAACCAGGAATTTAGCAATAGTGCTCCTCTGGTGCATCAAACTAATTTATCAGTGATTTACTGGAAATTTTTCCGGCATTTCCAGGTGACCTTTGTTCTCCCTTGCCTGACACAAAACAGCAGACCTTACCTATCTGCCAAGAAAATGACACCCAGTGAAGTTACTCAGTTTTTTTCACATTGATCGAGCTGTTAAAGGGTCTGTTAACCCCCTAAAGGGAGATACTGAGACACTGGCAATTTGTCTTTTTTTTGTGTCTCTCCTGCTTTTCTCTCCCACATTCTTGGGGTAAATTGACCATAGTTAAGCCTCTAGAGACTGACATGGAGAAATAGAGGCTAGGTTGTTGTGTTTGGTCAGGAATGCCACTATTTGAATTGCTTTTATTCTTGCTTGTTGAAAGACCTTGGAAAAGAAATCAAACGAAGCTAAATTAACGACAATAGGTATGCAACAGTGATTAGTGTAGGTGCACAGGGTAGTTGAAGATCACCTTAACAAGTCTTAGCGAGTGTTAATTGAATTCTGATGTGCACCATTGGTTTTTGCTCTATCATTCGTCCATCACTTATGTCCACATACTCTTAACAGACATTGGTACAAGCAACTACATTCATGGTGGAGAGATACATACAGGCAAAATAGTACTAAAACAAGCCTTTTTAATATTTACCACTATTTTACTATTATCAACATTACATATAAAAACTTGTGTGTAGTTTTACTGTATTTAGACAGTGACTAAAAGGCTATATTTGTGTTTTAGGCATTGCGAATCCTGGTTCCTATCAACACCACTGTAAAGAAATTGGTACATTTCTCTACAAACCACTCTGAACGGCTTTGTTTACATCTCAACTATTGAATGTCAAAATTTAGAAAACGCTGTGGAATTCCCCTTAAGTGATTACTGTTCAGTGTAACATTTTCAATATTGATTTCCACCAGACTGCCTCTGCAGCTCCATGCTGTATTTATGGAGTGTTTTCACTATATGAGAACTTGCACAAGATTTCGTCTGATGTGACTGAGATGAGTAGCACTTTAACGTGGAAGCATCTGCAGCACTCTGCATGTATCAGCTTTTTAAAACTATTTGTCTGCATGTCCCAGCACCTTTGTCCTTCCAGTCACTAGATAAGGCTCTTATCAAATACGTGCTGGGAATTTTTAATGAAGCTTCATGTTTCTGTTGCTTTTGGTGCCTTGGTGGGCTCCTGAAGCTCTGGAATGGTCTAGAAGACTTTCAGTTGGACACGTTTGGAGATGGCTGACCTGATCACTCTGTTTCTCCCTGGTGTCACTTGTGGGTGCTATTAATATTACAGCATGAACTTTACTTCTTTTTTGAACTCCACCTCGTCCCAATGTCCTTTTAAAGTGCCATATGATGATGTCACGTAACCAGAGAAGCCTAAATGGTTTGGTTTTGATTTACCAGTGACATACTCCATTCTGCTTTCTCAGGAGTTTAAGGAAGTTGGGTTGCAATGCAGTGCAGAAGTCTGGCAGAGTACCAGTGAATATCAGGTTCATTCTTGGCACCCGCCATTAAGTAATGTTGTTGAGGACTATATTAGAATGTAATTTAAAAAATAGTACGTTGGCATGTAGCTCAATGAGTAGATGCTTAGTAAATAAGACACAAACTAATGTGATTCTTTTTGACTTCTGCACATTATCAGTGTAAAATTGAGGTCAAAAGAATATGACACTTCTAAATAGGTATGACCTAATTCTCATATTTGCAGACATTCTCATATGCCGTGTGTTATTGGTATAATGGTTTGCAGGCTTATGCATAATTCAAAAGGCAAAACTGTGTTGTATTTTGCTGCAGTTCAGAGGGCTACATTTATGAGCTCGGAGGAGGATACTACAGAATGAAACCCTGTATGAAAACTGTCATACTGCCTGGGGTGGACATGTCAGCGTAAGAGTTAAAGATGTCTGATATAAATAGAAACACATCGTTATATACAGTAATACCAGCTGTGCATGGTCCAAACTGTTCATACCATTGAAAATCAGTGGCCGAATACTGAATTAAAAGGGGAATTCCACCAATCTTTGAACATTTCTGTTTTCTAAATCAAACAAAATCATTCAGAGTGGTTTGATGTGAAATGCTCCATTCTAGAGAAATTTTCCAAGTCAGAACTGGTCACAGCAGTGGTGATAGTAACCAGAGATGTCCAAAGCGCTTAACACCTCAAAGTACTACCTTGCATACAGTTATTACACTAAATGGTTATGAATGTGCTGCCTGATGCCTGAGACATTGATTTTGGTTACGTTTAATGAAAAGCATTGAGCCAATGCAGGGCATTGTGAGGCAAAACAGTACCCAAAGAAGACTTCAGATTTATTTATTCAAAATTTGATAAATGAATAAATAGATGCAGCATAAATGAATACATATACATTGACCTACTTTTTTCTCCCCCAAAAGTCCTGAATCTTTAGGTCTTACAGCCTCCTTTTCTAAGGCATCTCAGTCACAGGCCTTAATGTGAGACGAGGCTAAAATCGCCTCATAGTTGCAGACATCATGTCCTACCATTTGCCAGAACTATGCTATTGCCAACTCTCTAAGGCCTTATTTAGACACATTGAGGTCACCATGTGACAAGTCCACTGAAATCCTTCATTTCTTCAATGGCAGCACAGGAATGTGGAATTCGGACAGCTGCTGGCACCAGCCGGGGTCTTTTTAGTTATCTTCAAGAGCTGACTTCACATGCCAAATTAGAACTACAGCACTGCCAGCTGCAAGCTCAGGAACCCCCCGAAGAGCATAAACACCATATGAAACTCCTCTCTTCTAAAGATTAATATTGCTTTAAAATGACGTGTTAATGTTTTAACAATGACAAAGACAAACATGGACTGATATTAAAGGGCCTGTATCATGGAAAAGCAAATGTTTCTCTGTTTTTAAATACAATTTTTGAAATTTAACATAGTACGTATACATGGTTACATGGTTAAAGGTTTAAAATGCACAGTTCACTCCCCAGTCTATACAGCCTTTAATTCTAAGGGATAGATGGAGGTTGGAAAATGGTCATGTAAAAATATATTATGACTGTTTTTGGTACATGAAACCACATAAATGTCATAAGTGAACCTCAGGGGGAAAAATGTAATACAAGAAGATTATGCAATATGGGCCCTTTAATGCTAACACACTATGCTGTTATCAATTTGAGTTTGAGATGGATGTTTATTGTATATGTATTAAAGGAATTATGCATCAACTGTGTAGGAGACATAATTTTGTATACAGATTTTACTTTGCAGAGGGAAGCCCTAAGTAAGACAGACTGACATTTGTTTATGATCTCATTTTAACCCAGTAATCATGTGGGCTCGACTGCTCCACGCTGCATGTAAGGAATCATCACACAAACCTAGAAAAGCAGACACACTTTTAATGGTTTCACTGGATAACTCTCTTCTAAAGACCAGTGGGCCCTTTCTTCCATCAGACACATTGCGAATACTGTTGACAATTTTGGGCCCTTAGGAGACATATGTTTACATGCAGATTGATGATGAAGCGTTACTTCTCCCTGTCCAATAAGCACATGTGTGGGGAATGAACTATAAATATCACCACCTAAGAGTTGGACCTGGAGTACATATGAAACTACATGCGACCACATGAGACTGAGCCTTAGTCTTTAGTCACTGATTTTGTAGAGCAAATGGTGTCCCACAGCTGTGAAGCCATGAAAATGAGCTCAAAATAAGAATAAACCACAGAAAGTTGGTTTCTGTGAATTCTGTATTTTATTTATAAACAAATCAACAAATATCTATGATCATTTTTCTTTTTTTAATTTTTATTTTAGTGATTTTTAGTCATGTTTTGCATGAAAAAAAGCATGGCAGCAGTGATTTCACCAATGCTGCAGTATTGTTTTTATGCAAAACAACAATTTTGATGCTTTTTTGCAGTTGATGCATGTTGTTAAAATTTCTTTGTATTTATTTATTTGTTTGTTTGTTTGTTTGTTTGTTTGTTTGTTTTAACCCCCAATTTTTTGTCAGCGGTATTACCAAAACACAAAATGTCAGGAGTGTTTTTTTAAAGGTCTTTTACTTGTATGGATGTCTCAAATGAAGAAAAACTTTCATCTTTTTTATATTTCTGAATAATTTGGCTAAAATACTGACAGCTTTATGTTTATGTATATATGTTCATAGTATATATGTCAGTGGTGTTACTAATGAAACATTAATTGATTTTAAAACTGAAATAAAATAACATTATGAAGGCAATATTTGTAATTTAATACATGAAATGTGATTTTGAAACTAAAGTGACAGTGGACTATATTTTTTTGAAAAACCCAGATTGTTATCACTTTGTCAGTAGTGTTACAACTTTACTGATATTGTTCAATATAGCACCCAACATTTTACACTTGAATTGCATTTGTATCCTGTTTGCCACCACAGTGGTAGAATGATGTCTGGCCTTTCATAGTAGAGGTTGATTTTGAAGGTTATGTTGTGCTATAGGATGAAGAACCACAATATTTTCTTGAAACCAGAGTCCAGTAATTTCAAGACGAGCCAACAGCACTCAAACCCATATTCGGGACAAGAAACTGCAGATGATGGATTGCATCTCTCAGATTCTGTGCTGTAGTTTAGCTGAAAGAGTTCAGTCTGTTTGGATGACTGGAAGCTGTGAAAAAAGATCCCATTAAAACTGTTACTGTATATGATCGTGGGAAATTGTGCTTTTACAGTGACCGTCCACTGAAGTAGTTCTCCACCAGAGCATGTTGGCGCCCTTAAACATAGGCTTGCTTGTCCACTCGTTGTCTTAACCTTGGTGGTTGGTTCAGATATTTAATACACCCTCTTTGTATAAACACCAGTGGTATTTTCAGCCTTGTCTGGCCAGTTTCCCCTGGACAATAGACAGAAACAGATACCTCAGTGTACAAATTAGAGTGACAGAAGAAAATTACAACAGCATTCCATCACTCTACTATGGGTTACTTAGCACCTTCTCTGAAGTGTTATTTTTATGTCAACAGTTTATTGGACCGTCTCGTAACCAGAACTCTATAAAATAACAGAGAGTTTGATTCGTGGAACAAGGAATAGAATTTGTACCTTTTGAGTGTTTGTGCCAAATATTTGTGGTATGGAACCAGGTTGTTGTTGTTGTTTTTGAGAATGAGGCTGCAGAGGCCAAGTTAAGTAGCACTTATGGATGCCAGACTGCATCACATATTCCCATAAAATGAAAGGTACCAATAAGGGTTCTCTGGAGTAATGCCATAGAAGAACAACTTTTAGGTTCCTAAAGAGCCTTTCAGTCGATAATTCTTTGTGAAACCAATTTATTAAAAGAAATTTGGGAGTTTTAATTACCTTATTAAAGGTTAAAGGAACTCCACATAATGGCTTTATGGTACATGGTTTTATATCAATTAAAGTTTTTTCTTAGAACTGAACATCCAAAGAAAGAACCGTTTAAGAACCTCAAGAACACAGACTTGACCTCCAAGGAAAGAACCATTTAAGAACCCTAAGAACACAATCAATATCCAAGGAAAGGACCATGAAAGGACCTTAAGAACACAGAGTTAACATCCAAGGAAAGAACCATGTAAAGGCAATATCCAAGGAACAGTCATGTTGGAAACTTAAGAACGCAGTCAGTATTGAAGGCAAGAACAATTTAAGAACATTAAGAACATAGTCAATATCCAAGGCAAAAAACACTTAATAACCTTATGAGCACAGAGTCAACATCCAAGACAAGAATCATGTAACAACCTTAAGAACACAGTCAATAACTAAGACAAGAACCATGTAACTACATTCAGAGCACAGATTCACACAGTATCTGTCCATTTTTATTTTCAAATAACACCTAAAGCTCACTCAACTGGGACAGTATGAAGACAACAACAATCTTTATAATGCATGGATGTTCAAACATATGTCCAAACCATCTTTATAACATTTATGATCAGCACCTACAGTTATCATCAGCCTAGTTATCCTCCTTCTCTGCCTTTTTCTCTGTGTGCACCAAGTTTGATGGCACCACATGACATTAGACAGATCAGTCCTAGCAGTTCAAAGAGCTGTAACATCTCACCTTCAACAATATTCTCTCAGATGGTCCTCATGCTTGCCAGCCAACACCTGGAACATGTTTCTGAGACCAGCAGAGATTCGAGAACACAGATAAAAAGCTATTCAAGTCCTCTTTTATCAGCCCATTCAAAGAGAAAGAGATAAACGTTTGTTCTTTAGACATGTGTTTAATCTCCTAGGTTTATAAGTGAAGCATGTATTTAGTTACCCATTTATTAGGAGTCTCCTTTTTTGGTTCACTTTTAACAGTTCATTTAGCAAAACTTCAGTGATTTGGTAGCTAAGCTGTACATCATACAGCCTACATTGGCCACATTTCCTCTCTCAGCCTCCTGCTAAGAACTTTACTCTTCTGCAAACAAAGAGTGTGACCCACTTCCAGCTGACAGGACCTGTAAACCTTTGAAAGTGCTGCGGAAGAGTTTTGTTTGATCTGTATGTACAAGTGAGCTCAGGAAGGTGGTGACTCAAAGGTGACAGGCCTCATGACTTCACCACAGCCTGTTTTACTCAAGACGTATTTGAAACGAATTAGCGAAAGGCATGATGCAATTTTTGGGGTGTTATTGTCACTAACACAGTCAGCGTCATGTTTCTTTATTCATTTAATACCATCAAAAGTGTAGAGAGACTTGTAACCTGAGACAGTGTGAGATTTGTAATTGACAGGAGACCACCATTATGCCTTTGATGGAGATGGACTATGACTCAGAAGTGTGTTATTGAAAGAAATGCAAGCATAATTTAATTTCTTTCCTCTCATATTTACTGTCACGTGGTGGAATCAAGGGCATGAGCCATAGAGCACATCCTGATTCTGCCTCACTTAACCTACTCACCTAACCTACTACTAGTTTTGGTCATATATGGTGTAATGTGCTATGGTTTCAATATGGCTTTCTCTGAATTATTACGATGTGTTTATTAATTAAGCTGCATTTTTTTATTATAGAACCAACAAAACTTTAAGTGCTCCCAGTCTTTTATGACACAAAGGAAGTCATATTTTGTTATTTTTCAATTATAGAGGCAACATGAGGTCCAAAAGCAATGGAGTGGACAGTCCAGCCAACGGGGTCCTGGTGGTCCCTCATGCAATACATGAGATTGGTGAAGAAGAGGTGGGTGAGGAGAAGCTGCTGGCTACTGAGAAAAATATGAAGGCCAAAGTTCAACAGAAGGATGATGAAGAGAAGCTTCAGTCAGAAACTGATGACAACTCCACAAAGAAAGATGACCAAAAACTAGGCCTGAAGGATCTGTCTAAAGAGGACCTTCTTAAGTTGCTGGGAATCATGGAGGGAGAGATTCAGGTAAAGTTTAGCATTGTTTTGAACTGTATTAGCAATTTCCCTGTGCATATTCAGGAACCAGGAAATGAATTATCAGGGCTTGTTTAAAAGATCTTCATTGTGTTAGTAAAATGTTCAGTTGAATGACAGGAGTCAAAAACTGAATGTCATAAAATTAATATAATATGTATGCGTAATGCATAATGAAAGGAAACAAACATGTCTCCAAAACTTCTTTCTTGCTGCTCAAACTGCATCTAGGTCTTCATTAAGGTGTTGCAAACTTGTTGATGTGGGTTATGTGAACTATAACAATACTTCACCATGTAGCTGCAGGCAGCCATTCTAGCCACACAGTGAAGTTCTGCTATTTTTTATAGTTCACAGTAAGTCATACTGTATCTTAAACCACATCAACAAGTCTGTGAGACCTTAATGAAGACCTGGATGCCGTTTAAGCACATGAAGAAAGTTTTTTGATATGTACACTATGTGGACAAAAGTTTTGGGATACCAACACATTACACCTACAGGTGCTTTAATGGCATCCCATTCTAAATCCATAGGTATTAATAAGGAGTTGGTCCCCTCCTCACAGCTGTAACAGCTTCCACTCTTCTGGGAAGCTTTCTACAAGATTTTGGGGAGTGTCTGTGGGAATTTTTGCCCATTCATGCAGAGGAGCATTTGTAAGGTCAGACACCAATGTTGGACAAGTGGGCCTGGCTCTCAGTCTCTGTTCTAGTTCATCTCAAAGGTGTTTGATGGGGTTGAGGTCAGGGCTCTGTGTGGGCCAGTCAAGTTCTTCCACACCAAATTCACCCAGCCATGCCTTTATGGACCTTGCTTTGTGCACTGGGGCTCAGTAATGCCGGAACAGAAAAGGGCCTTCCCCTGTTCCCACAATGTTGGAAACCTACAGTTGTCCAAAATGCCTTGGTATGCTGATGCATTAAGATTTCCCTTCACTGGAACTAAGGGGCCAAGGCCAACTCAGAAAAATAACCCCATAGCATTATTCCTCCTCCACCAAACTACAGTTGGCACAATGCAGTCAGGCAGGTAATGTTCTCCTGGCATTCGCGAAATCCAGATTTGCCCATCAGATTGAAAGATAAAAAAGTGTGATTCGTCACTCCACAAAATACATTTGCACTGCTCCAGAGTCCAGTGGAGGCGTGCTTTACACCACTCCATCCAACACTTGGCATTGTGCTTGGTGGTATAAGGCTTTTATGCAGCTGTTCAGGCATGGAAACTCATGCCGTGATGCTACTGTTGCACAGTTTTTGTGCTGATGTTAAAGCCAGAGGAGGTTTGGAACTCTGCAGTTATTGACTCAGCAGACCGTTGGTGACTTTTATGCACTATGCAATCAACCCCACTCTGTAAATTTATGTGGTCTAACACTTCATGGCTTAGTTGCTATGGTTCCTAAACACTTCCACTTTTAAATAATACCACTCACAGTTAAATGTAGAACATTTAGGAGGGAAGAAACTTTGCGAACTGGCATCCTATTACAGCATCACGCTCAAATTCAGTGAGCTGTTCAGAACGACTCATTCTTCCACAAATGTTTGTAAAGGCAGACTGCATGGCTAGGTGCTTGATTTTATACACCTGTGGCAATGGGACTGAATGAAACACCTGCATCCAATGAGCAAGAGGTGTGTCCCAATACTTTTGTCCATATAGTGTATTTATGAAAAAGATTTGGGTGCCTATTGACAGCGTTTGTTAGCAATGTTATCCTTGTAGCTCCAGCGCTAAACTAAAGCAGCAAAATTTGGACAGCAAACATGTCTTGACTGATCGACTACATCTGGTGTTAGTGAAAAATTGTTAGTTTATTTGATTTATCACCAAACTATTCCTTTAAGTATACATATGTTAAATAAACATAACAATATACATAATATATGGTTAAGTGCAATACAATGCTGAGCTATTTTGCTCTTAAATATTGATTTACTTCCAGCCTGATAAGCTGAAACTGAAATGTTTCATCTTGATCTTAATGGTCCACATTCCTTTTTGCTTGACAACTGATGTGCTGGCAGGGTTCCTTCATATCACTGACAAGCCTCTCATTAGAAGGATTTATGGTGTGTTTAGGATGGGGAAAGAACTCTCTGAAGGAGAGCAGTGGGCTCTAGTCTGGACCTTCTCTCCTTCTCTGAGCTGGTCAGGCTCCAGGCCGAGTCGGTGTGTTTGGCTCTGTGTCAGCTTGCTTGCCCTCAGGTCCTGACAGAGAGCCATTAACACCTCATCACACTATAGCTTCCCTGTGGAGCTAACCTTTATTATGCTACAGAGGGAATGGGAACAGAGTGTGAACACAGCAAGTCAAGCGGTGCAAGTCACTCCTCAGACATGTACACTTAAACCAGAGGAGGAGAAGGGACTGATGACAGTGGGCTGATGACAGTAGGCTGATGCATACTTTGCTGGCGTGCTCTTTTTGGCAGCTATTGCTCATGCTTTCTTGAGTCTTTGCGCAAATGTGTCTTAGGAACTGCATTAACCTTTTAACAACACCCACTTTGAATTTTTGCAGGTCTTCACAAAGTCTGTAAGGCTTATGTGGACCATTCAACTGAATTAGTTCAAAATGCCATCCCTAAACATCCCCATGCTAAATATATACAAAGCCATCATCATCATCATCACCATCATCATCATCATCCTAAATTTTACTTACTTTTTTGCATTTTTTCCTATGTTGTTTTTAAAAACATTTTAGCCTCATCCCTGCATTTTAGAGCAGGAAGTGAAACTGCATCCCTGTCCCTCATGACCAGACAGTGATACCATTGTTCTGTAGTAAATTGTGCCCCAAAAATCAGTGAAAATCAGTGTGTAACATTAAGAATTGTCACTACTGAAACACTTATTTTCTGCAATTAACTTAACTTTTTTGTGTTTTAATAAAATATTATGATGTTATGTGTGTACAACTGTTTAAAGCAGTGTTTGCTAGTCATATACTGGCTAGCATTTTTGAGTTATCCTCAAAATTAGCAAAAATTGTCACTACTAAAACATTTGTTAAAATTTTGGTAGGGTCATTGGAATACAAAATGGAATACTCATTCATTTATTTTAATTTAGTAATCATAATCAACACATAAGATCATTCAAAGAAAAAAGAGTAACACTTTATTTGGATGGTCCACTGTAGATGCTCAGTCTATCTTTAAAAAACACTCAACTAAATATCTATTAAATGCAGCTGAACTTGAAGGTGCATGTGAAAGGCTTTATTAAATTTGTCCCTATCCCTAAACCTAACCCTAACCCTAATCTTAACCTTAAGGCAAAACCTACACCTACTCCTAAATCTAACCCTAACCTTAATGTTGTTGATAATGAACTGAGTATCACCAGAAAGTTTGTTAATAATGTAAGTATCTGAAGGGGGGCATCCAAATCAAGTGTGACCGAAAAAAGATTTTAGTCTAAAGTCCAAGTCAGTTAAAAGTCTGAAATGTGTCTCGGCACTAATTTTGAACCAGTTCAGTAGAATGATCCGTATAGGTGTTGTGTAGCCTTATTAACTGCCCATCAGTAAAATGTAAGTGAACAAGACTTACAGTTACTATAGTTTTTGCATATATCTCAATGCCCCATTACAAGACACTTCAGGGCCATTTGGCTCCATCTAGTGTCACCTAAAATGTGTTTTTTCTTTTCTTTACCTCGGTAGAGAAAACTAAACTGAATGTCAGGAATGATAGTGACCATATCACTGCACTATGCACAGATATAATTGTTGTTGCAAAGAAGTCCAAATAACACAAGAAGGGCTTGTTCATTTAGCTGATTAGTTGGATCAGGTGTGTTTAAGCAAGTAAAACACCAGAATATGCAGGGCAGAGTTACAGCAGGACTACAGTCAGACTATAACTACACTGTGAGTAGAAAGCACTGTGATTCCTGTGTTCCATGCTCATTCCTCAGGCGAGAGAGGATGTTATACGGCTGTTGAGATCTGCGCTCAGTCGCCCAGAGGTGCTAGAGTCTCGTTATGGCTCAGCAGGTCCCACCAAACCCCTTCAGGCCCTGCAGAGAGACGGACTGCTCATCAACATCCGCACACACCACGATGACGTGTATGAAAAGCCTATGGCAGAGGTAGTACAATTAGACTGGGAGTTCTTATTGAGTTTTACATTGTTTTGAATTTATTCAATAAGAGTTTATAAGGTATGGGGTGAAATATTACAAAGTAGATAGTAGAAAGTTTTTAGATTGATATTTCAAGCTCATGGGAACAACAAGACGCTATTAATCATTAATGTATACTGAAATAATAAATAGCATATTGCAATTACTTTTACTTTTTGCCAATTATGTACGTCTGGACACTTGATCACAACATTTCAAATACGAGGCATTTTCTCAGACAGCATTCTCTGTCATTTTGGAATCATTTACAGCTTTGTTCATCCTTCTGGAAACAACTACAATTTCTTAATTTTTAAAAGATTTTTACATTTTTCTGCAAATGATTTGAAAGCTATGAAATTGTAGAGTACTAGCATCAGAATAGAATACTGTCATACATCTGCAATAAGCAGCAATATCAAACTTTTGAGCAGCAGTGTACAATTACACTGTGCAATGTAAGCATTAGGGGTGTAACGATTCACAGAATTCTTGATTATAAAGAGTGCCTGAATCTATAGAAATTTTTCCATTTTCAGTTCATTAGAGCATTCAACTTTATGAAAGTACAACATTTTATAATAATGTGCCACTCACAAGCTAATATGTTAGCTCCAAGCAAATATATGCTTATGAGGAAGTGATATTTTTAGATAAGGAAGGGTCTGCTTTCATTATGGGCTGGCTTGTATCATTTTTATTACATTTTATGCAATGTAATCAGTATTAAACTCAGTACTTTATTTGATTGAGTGTGATTAATGTATTGTTTGTTACCTGTGCTTATTGAATTGAGAGGCCCGTATTGAACACTTTGTATTGTTACTCTGCTAGTAAACATTCAGAGTACCAAAATGCTTTGTTTTTGGTTGTTGGGACACAAATGTGTATAATGCTGATGTCCATGTATGCCACTCACTCTTGTCCTAATGTGCTGAATGCTGGTATTCTGTATTTGTCACTCAGCTGGACAAGCTTCAGGATAAGCATAGGGAGACGTATCGGCGCATGCTGGAGCAGCTGCTACTGGCCGAGAAATGCCATCGACGTACTGTTCATGAGCTGGACACTGAGAAACGCAAGCACGTAGACTACATGAACAAGAGCGATGACTTTACCAATCTTCTGGAACAAGAGAGAGAAAGGTAAGTGCTGTGGTTACAGTACTTCATTCTGAACAGAGAGGCCACATCCTATGTTTGAAAAAAAAGTACTGCAGTGAAACAGTAAACAAAATGATGCCTCATCATTTAATTTCAAATTTATTCATCTAAAAATTAGGAGTAGACTGGACTGAGTTATACTGGGACCTGCTGAATAAGATAATGAGGGCTAATCTACTGTTCAGTGTATCTCAGAGCATCAAAGATGTCCCATAGCACCAGATCCAGAGGTCAAAGGCATTGAGGTCATTGCCATGGACACAATGAATACTGAGAGGCCAGCAGGGTGTGGAGGCAAGAGTGAAAAACGTGTGTTGCGTGCAGGAAGCAGGGTGGGGTTGAGAGGGTCAAACAGAGGCCCTGTCAGAGTCGGTGTGGCCACACAGCAGTCATGAAAGCAACGTGTGCTGACTGAATCAGATGAGTAGTGAACTAAAAATCCAAAGCATTGCCTTTGCTTTCCCTAATATCTTCACCACATAACTATCTATTATATTTTCATAGCAGAAAATGTCACATATGAATGGTAAAGGTGAAAAGAGTTTTGGCGCTTTCACATATACCACAAATACATATTCAGCTATTGTGACTTCTTCCAGCTTTCTGGTTAGCCCCATTTGTTTGGCCATTTTCCATGTGACTTTCCAAGTTCTATTGAATTAATGTACAGAGCAGCCCTCGCTTTAAGTAGTTCTGGATCAGAGCAGATCTAACTAGTTGACAGATCATGAGAGACAAGAGGTAATTTGGAGAAGCCACTAGTCATTAGTCAACATCAGACTGAGGCCCCATGTTTGACCCACAAGCCACAAAACATTACAGCGAATACCTTCAGCTTATGACAGTGGCTTACACTTTGTTGGATGTAGGCCTTTGCATTAAAAAAAATGATGAGTGAAAATTCATACAACTAAACTAGAATATCAGTACACGTTAGACGTTGCTCTTGAATAGTCCTCTGTAAAATCATGTTCATATAAGGCCTGCAAAACACTTCAGCAAGTCACAGCATGAATGAGTGAAAGATGTTTAGTATACTTGTACACATAGTATACATATACACACACATAGAACACTGTGCAAAAATCAGAGACCACCCATTGTTTATTTAATTTCCAGCCAAAACAGACATTAAGAACAAATTATTTATTTTTCAGGAGATGCAATAAATACAAAACAGAAATTTCCAAAATTAGAGTTAAAGAAATGTAATAAACATTTAGAATGTGGGACTCTTAACAACCACGCAAGACCTGGTAGGCCACCAAAACTGTCACCATCAGTTAAGCAGTGCTTAAAGCTTTCGTCTTTCAGATATAGGAGAAAATCAAGCTCCACTCTTGCTTTAGATCTGAAAAAATCCACAGATGTTTCTGTCCATCCTTTCAGTGTGACAAGACAACTCCACACTATGAGACTGAAAGGATGTGTAGCTGCCAAGAAGCTGTCAATGAGAAAAGGAAAAGGACAAAAAAGAACAACATTTGCAAATCTGGTGCTCTCAGAACAATGGACTGTCCATCGCAGACCTCAGCATCTTTGAATATATATGGGATTACTTGGATTGTGAGAAGCAGAAAATGCAACCAACTTCTAAGACTAAACTTTGGAGGAGGAAAAATATCAGCAAATTTCTTAAAAAACTGAAAGCAAGTCTCCTGAAAAGAATGAAAGCCATAACAAAGGCAAAAGGTGAACTCACTAAATACTGAAATTTTTATATTACATTTAGTTGTGGTGAAATCTTTATGTATTTTTATCCAAAAAATGAATTTGTACATAAAGGCTATTAGACTGGAAATGAAATACATGAATGTTGGTCTTTGGCACAATAGTGTGCATCACATAAAGCCATTAATTCCAATGATATTTGTGTTGTCATTTTTTTAACAGGGAGAATGACACCCTCTTGAATCCTGAATAAATCAGTTGTTTATGTAGGCAGCAGAATTCAAATTTGAGAAGTGTGACCTTTGAAAGTTAAAGGGGGCAGCAGTTTTTGGACATCATATCAGCCCACTTTGCCAAGTGATATCCTGTGCCCCCACTGAACCACGATTATAAACCTTCTCCAGTAATGATACTTTACAGAGTAGCCCCTGCACCATAAACATGCACGTGTAGCCTCATATCAACATGCATATACCAACACTCACATACACTGCCTCCACACAGGGAGTGCACACATAGACACTCTCACATAATGTCTGTGTCAGTCAGCACGTCGGGGTGGAAAATATTTCTTCATCTCTTACATTCACACCTGTTTTTCATGCCGTGTGAGAAGAGTGGAGGTGATGAAGAGAGACATGAAACTCCCCTGAATTTTGTTTATCTGACAGTAGCCTATAGGCTTTTCTTCACATTCTTGTAGGCTGGTCAACTATGAAAGGATCAAGAAATACTGAAATAAAAGATACGGCACTTGCATTATCTTTGTTTAGACTACACTACTATTCAAAGGTTTGGACTCACTTATTTTATTAATAGTGTTACTTTACATACAAAAATATAACATTATTGCAGATTTTATCACCACTTACAGATACAGTTCAAAATCAATAGATTTACTGATATATGAGGTGTGGGGTTAGGGATTCTTTGTTGGGTCAAATCAAGGTTCTTCATGGGCCACATAGACAGCACTGATCTAAGCAGTAGTAGAAATGATTTCACTGTAATTCAATATTCTGCATGTGAACATGTGAATAATACAGGAATTCCTCATAATTGTAATTTTTAAAATTACTCAGAAACTTTGCCTCCTATAATATGTTGTATAGGAATCCTTAGCTAGTAGTAGTAACCCAGCACCTTAAAATAAGGCTAACTTTTTTACAGTGATGTGTCATCCCTATATATAGACCCAGTCTGAGCTCATAGGATCATTTCAATGTTTTTCTTCATCCTTAAGTGTAGAGTTGCTAAGTGAGTAGTAGTCACTATGTATCTTAATCACAGTACATGAGCTCTCAGGTCACTATGCCATTCATAGTAACCAATGTTGTCCAGGAGGGTGAGCAGAAATAAGGGCCCCGGGAGGCATTCCCCTCACTGTCCTGAATGTAGTTTAGTGCATTCCTTTCATAAACAAAACAATTTTTACTACAGACATCAAGTTGTTTAAAGAAGAGTGTAATTCCAAAATTCTGCATATACATGAGTAACAATTTAAGATATAACAAGTATTTAGAAACAATCACAGCTGGTGTATAATGGAAAACACATTTTTATTTCTCTAGTAAACATGGTGTTAATCATAATATAGCACTGATAGTTCTTATATGTGCAAAGCCAACTCCCAACAACGTATGTCATGAAAAAAAAGAAAATTCTTAAAAGTGGTCTAGAATGCATTTTGGAACAAAATGTTTCAATTGTTCCTCTGCTAATAAGTTGCAAATAGTAATAGTTACAAAACTGGAAGAAGAAATCATTAGATGAGAAGGAAAAGACTGAAGTCCCACCCCATCAGTGTTCAATGCAGAGCTTCACAAATCTGTGCCATATATGGGCAGCATGACATCATCAGCCAGTCTGGTCCGGGGGAGCTTTGCACAAATTTCACCTATCATTGTCGTGATAGCATGCGTGGAATGTGATGGGCAGTTCCCCGCAGAGTTATAGGCCCGGCCGACGGCTGCCAACCTAGATGCATGGCAGTTAAAAAATTAGGAGCACTCACTGAGGACAGCAAAACTACAGGGTAAGTTTAGACTGCTGTTTGCTTGTATCAAAGAATAGTGACATTTACTGTTGCATCTTTTGCTGTTATACATTTTTATGTAAAAAAAAAGATTGCAAACAAACAGAGTGTTGTAAGGATAACTAGATGTAAGCTTAGAAGAATCAGTATATGGAAAGACAGTGTGAGAAGCAGAGAATATGGGACACAGCCAAGCTTGGGTGCTTAGTTAAACATTCACTTGCAATTTGGATTTTTGGTCACGGTTCCAGCAGCAAGGGTGGAAGCAGTGGAAGTGCTTTTGTCTGGCAAAGCTGCCTATTTGTGCTAGTGGGGGTCTCCAGCTTATTCAAGTGTGAGAGGCATGTTAAAAAAACAGCCAAGAAAAAAGTCTCATATTATAACATATGTAATGTTTTCTAAGCAGAAAAATGAATTCTTGGTAAAATGTTTTCTCTAAAAAATGTTATTATTTACCAATTGGAAGCCCCAGTATCTCATAGTATATAGGCTATGTTTGCAATTGTTTAAAACTAAGCATTTGACTCGTTCCTCTTCAGATTAAAGCTGTTGCTGAAGCAAGAGAAAGCGTACCAAGTACGAAACGAAAAGGAGCACTCTAGACGACTGCAGAAAGTTCGTGGAGAGCTGATCAAGTTGAAGTCTTTTGCGCTCATGTTGGTGGATGAGCAGCAACTCCACCTGGAGCAGATTGACCAGCAAAGCCAGAAGATCCAAGAACTTCTCCAAAAACTCCAGGAGAAAGAAAAGAAGCTGAGCGAAGTTGAGGCCAAAGCAAAGGAGGACAGCCAGAAGCTCTTGAACCTTGAGGTTGAGCTAGAGGTCAGGACTTCCAAGTTTGCACGCCAGCATGACGAGATGACAGCTAAACTGGCCAACCATGAGACTCAGCATAGGCAGCTGTGCCAGAAACAGGCAACTCTGTCACAGAAAATTGAGGAGCTGGAAGAGACGAATGCTATTCTGCAGAAATCAGCAGTGGAGCTACAGGAGCTGCGTGATAAAATAAGCAAGGGGGAGTATGGCAACTCAAACCTGATGGCGGAGCTGGAGAACTTGCGTAAGAGAGTCTTGGAGATGGAAGGCAAGGATGAAGAGATCACCAAAGCTGAGTCTCAATGCAGTGAGCTGAAGAAGAAACTCCAGACTGAGGAGATCCACAGCAAGGAGATAAAACTGGAGGTGGAAAAGCTACAAAAGAGGATGGCGGAGCTTGAGAAGCTGGAAGCAGACTTCAGTTTGGGCAGGACTGAATGTGCCCAGCTGCAGAATGCTCTGGAGAAAGAAAAAAGCCTGACGAAAGAACTGGCAGAGGAGCTAGTGACAGTTAAAATTCGCATGAAAGAACTAGAAACATCTGAGCTGAAAATGGAGAAGGCAGAGCTGGCTCTGAAAGAGGAGCTGATGAAGCTCAAGTCAGTCACTGTAATAATGGTTAATGAGCGCAAGAACATGGCAGAAAGAATAAGGTCTGAGGAAAAGAAGATAGAGGATCTGGAAAAATTGTTTAAGGCAGAACAGGAGAAGGTTATGGAGGTCACTGAGAGGTTGATAGAAGAGAGTAAAAGACTCCTAAAGCTGAAATCTGAGATGGAGGCAAAAATAACCACCTTGGTCAAAGAGAAAGATGAGCTGAAGGTCAGGCTTACAACCGAGGAAGATAAATGTAAAGATTTAAATTCCAAGGTTTGTGTGATGAAACATGTTAATGATGAGGTGAAAGATGAAGAAAATGATTCTACAAAAAAGATGTTAAGCAAAGAAGTGGGTAGTGCTATAAATTCAAGTAGAAAGGATGAAAATAAGATAATAGAACTAACTGTGGAAATTGAAAGGTTGAGAAATCGTCTCAAGCAGCTCGAGGTTGTTGAGGGAGATCTGATCAAGACAGAGGATGAGTATGATATGTTGGAGAAGAGGTTCAAGAGTGAGCAGGAAAAAGCAAATTCCCTCTCACAGCAGGTAGAAGAAATGAGGAGTCAGATTGCTTTGAGCAAGGTAATAGAGAGAGGAGAGGCGGTTAGTCAAGAGGCAGAGTTACGGCGGCGGTGCAAACTGGAAGAGGCCAAAAACAGAGACTTGCAGGCAGATGTTCAAGCTCTCAAGGAAAAGATCCATGAGCTCATGAACAAGGAGGACCAGCTTTCACAGCTTCAGGTGGACTACTCTGTCCTACAACAGAGGTTCCTTGAAGAGGAGGACAAAAAGAAGAGCATGAGCAATGAGGTTCTGAATCTTACCAAAGAACTTGAGGTCACTAAACGCTACAGTCGAGCTTTGAGGCCCAGCAACAATGGAAGGAGAATGATGGATGTTCCAATGATGTCCACAGGAGTGCAAACTGATGCTGTTGAAAATGAAACAAATGATGATGAGGACACACCTGCTGTGTTCATCAAGAAGTCTGTCCAAGAAGAGAACCACATAATGAGTAGCCTTCGTCAGAGAAGCCTTAAGAAGCCTGCTGAAAGACCACCAGTCCGTGAACTCTACCCCTCAACGGCTAGTGATCTTACTCTCAAGAAGTCTTGGATTCCGTGGATAAGGAAGAAAGACAGTCATAGCCAGAGTGCTTTGGAAAAGTCTGTACATATAAATGGAGATTCTATACATTCTGAAATTAAAATGACCCCAAAGCAAGGCCAGCCGTTACACATTCGAGTGACTCCTGACCACCAGAACAGCAAGACAACCCTCCAGATTAGCAGCTCTCCTGCAGAGAACATCTTCAGCAGTGCCATAGTCACACCCGCACAGGGTGTTCAGAAGCCGCGAATAACAATCATTCCCTCCACGGCTGTTTCGCCAAATGAGAGAGCCAGAGAGCCAAGGTGTCCAGAGAGAGCCAAATCTCCAATGACCATCACAACTATCTCAAGAGCCAAGTCCCCTGAGAGCATGAAAGCTGACAGGTCTACGTCGCCCTCATCCCTCATGTCAGTTAGCACCTCCACACTGTCAGATGTATCCAGCTCCCCTGAGCCTCAGGAAATGATCACAGGCAGGGCTGTATTTAAAGTGACTCCTGAGAAAAGAATGGTGCCCACACCCATTAAAAAGACTAATTCAAATGCTAATATCATCACCACAGATGACAACAAGATTCACATTCACTTAGGTTCACAGTTCAGAAAGCCCTCTGAAAGCAACAGCTCTGTGGTCATGGTGAGACCTGTCGCGGTAGCGGCTGAGAGCAAAGAACTTTCTACAGGCACCGTGCTACGTTCACCACGCCATGGCACCATCAGCAAAGCAACATCAAACAAAGTGACAAGCAGCCTCACCATCACGCAGGTCACTACAGCACCACCCAGACCAACACTTTCTGTGGTAAGTGCTATGCCTCATATGAATAATTTACAAAGAATATTTTTGATGTTGTTGATAAATTGACAATATTCCTATCACAAAATATAGTATTTGAAACTTAAAATAAGCCTGAATATTTTTTGTAGAATCAACATGTTATTGTTTGCTATGCGGTGTCGACCAGGATAGAATAGGTTCCCTTTTTTGAGTCTTGGTTCTTCTAAAGGTTTCTTCCTCTTGCTCTTAGGGAGCTTTTCTTTGCCACTGTCGCCACTGGCTTGCTCATGGGGCTTGGACCCGGATTTTTCTGTAAAGCTACTTTGTGACAACACCTGTTGTAAAAAGCGCAATATAAATAAACTTTGACTTGACTTGACATGCTTGGAGAAGTTTAGAAATTTATGAGACGACAAAAAGATGACCTGATGACATGTTCTCCTTCAATCAGTTACACTACATAAAAAAAGTCTGTGTTACATTTTGCCCTGCATTAGGTTGTGCCCACTCCCCCCGATTACAAAACAGCAAAAGAACAAGCACTGGGTTGAGTGTGAAGAGTCTTTTTGTGATGGCTGAAATGTTTTTTTTTCAGTGAATAAAATTTGAAATGAATTAATAATGTGGCATTGTACAGTCAGAGAAGGCCATCATTTCTGTTTAAAAAGCGTTCTTTTATTGTAGAAACAGCAGAAAAAGCTACTCTCAACAGCCCAGCTCATGTCACCAAAAGCCATAGGCTCCCACCTCAGGGTGACCCCCTCCTTACAGAGATCGAGCCATTTCCCAGACACCCCATGTCACACAGAACTCACACACATACAAATCACCAAACAAACAACAACAAGAATAACATCCAAACAACAGCAATAACTGTCTTTTTTTAGGAGGGGGCAGGGCTCACAGAATAATTTTGCATAAAGGCCCCAAAGCCCCAGTCACAGTACCGGAGAAAGTGTCAGCTGCCTGGGTGTTTACATCTATATTATGTGAACTATTTTATACACATCCCCCTATTTCTAGGAACCATACATAGTTGGATATATTAACAGTAATCATAAATAAAATGGCCACATTTAGGACCTGGTTGCAAAACCTTTCCTTTGATGGAAAAATCCGTAGGGATACTCTGGCAGGCCTGTAGTGCAGTCCTGCAGACATTTTTAGTTTCTGCCTGGTTTGGAGGTTTTGCCTTCAGTCTTGTCTTCAGTAGAATAAATACAGTTCTAAACATTCCACTTTGTGGTCCTGCAAGATGTAATTTCTGCTGAGTTTGGGGGAGTTTGATTGAAGCCAATGAGTAAATAAGATGCTTCAGAACAGAATTCATCCTGCTGAATTCATCAGCAATCACATTACCAGTAAAGACCAGAAGAGAGAAAGTTCTACTGGCAGCTACACATGTCCATGCAACTATGTTTCACAGATGACGTGATGTGCTTTGATCAAGAATGGTTCCTTATTTGTTTCTCTGCACTTTCCTACTTTCACCATTCTGGAAAAGGTTCATCTGTGTTTTATATCTGTAAGACTTTGGCTCAGATCTCTACAGACTTCCTTACATCCTTTTAGTCAGTTGTACCTTGGCTTTCTGTGTGCGTTTGTGAAGAATCTTTTTTTAAAGTTCAGTTAAACTCCACATAATGTAAAGCCTCTATACAATTAAAGATTTTTTTTCTTAAACTGTACACCAAAGCCAAGAACCTCAGAAACCGTTATTTTTAAGTGTGTAGATCCTGGAGAGTGTTCTAAATCTGCTCAACAGTTTTTGACTGAAACAATGTGTTCTTGCTTCTTAACAAAACATTAGAATTTCAAAACATTTTGATTGATATATTCTGACTTTTCATGATGGCCTGCTTTACTGGCTTTGATACTCCAATTGTCTTCATGTTTAGAGACAACTTTGAATGAAAATGACACATGTACAGTCAACTTTAGATCATTTATTACGTCTCTTGTGCATGAAGTTGTGCAAGACGCACTGTTGATCAAGAAACAGTTGAGTAACCAACTGTCCAATTGCATAAGTTTCTCTGAAATGCAAGTTCTCTGCCTACATATAAAGAGCTTTGATTCCTCATATGGTTCACTCTTTAAGTATCGTTGGATTAAAGCTGACATTCTGCACTTTAAGCCTGTAGTTAATGATTCATGGCAAAAATGAAACACAATCACAATGGCAGCACCTTGTTGTGTAGTTGTTTCTACTTCTAAAGCCAACAAACAAACAAACAAATAAACAAAGTACTTTAAGTTTCATGGGTGATTGTGTAGCTTGTGCAGAAACTATGAATAGAGTGAGAGTTGTTTCTTTATCAAATTAGCTTTCAACACTACTGTTCATTCATATAAGATTAAAACTATTACTTAAGGCTTTAAATGGCCCAAGTGTTTGTACATTTTGCTTTAGTGAAGTGATTCAGTTATTCAATGACAGGCAGTAATGCAGTATAGACACTCTGTCCTGCTAAGTATTTACTGGTATTAAAAGGATGACTATGAATGTGTCCTTTCTCAAAAACATCAAATGTAATCCTGTATTTTTTCAGTTGCAAATTTATTACTCCTTTTTTTCATTTTCTGTCCACAGCAGCCTGTTATGGACCCCCAAGCTCCTCGATCTGGGCTCACTCGCATTCCTATGTCTCGGGGCATGAAAACTGGGAAGGCTGTACTTGGGGCACTAGGCATTACCACCAGTGTGAAGATGGAATCAAAAGCAGAGAGTCAGGCCATGCGAATTGAGATGAAGAAATCGCCTATTGGCAGTGCCACTCTTCAGGGTGGCGGCAAAGGCTGAAAGTGCTCATAATGACAAAAAGTTCCACAAGTTGAAATTTAGGGTTTGCAAATAGTCTGAGCCATGATAAAAAAAAAAAAACTAAAAAAAACAACAAAACAGTGGGTCAGAAGATGGCTCCTTCATTTTAGATGGCTTATGGGAATTGCCTGCACAGTTCAGTTCCATATCAAAGCAGAGCAATTTTTCATAGGTGATCGGACAATGTATACAATTGTAAATACAGACAATGTCTGGGTTGTCATTGCTGTTTTTCTCCTCCTTTTTTTTTTTTTACATCAAATAAAGAATCATATTATGCAAAAGAACAAACTTTTGCTCCATAAAGGAGCTACACTGTTGTCACTCTTACCAGTAGCAAACCTGAGCCTGACTTTCATCTATGGATTCTTAGCATATGATAGAAGAAGATCTGCAGTTTTCTTATGCAGTAGGGTCAACTTTAGATATCCTCTGGAAAATGTTAGATGCAGAGGTGGTAGTTTTGCTTGCAGTGCCACTACTATGAGTTAAGGGAATTAATGATAGGCTCACATAGTGGGCTTCGTTCAGTGTTGTATATGTGTTGGTTAATGTTTTTACTAAGGCCAAGCTTCTTAATGTGTAACAAATGTTTTTACTATTGTTTATAAGATAATTGAAATAAAATGTTTTTTTTTTTCTTTTAAGTGTGATGCATTTGGTTTCAATACATTCACTTCTGCTTCAAGCTAGAGAGCTCTGTGTCAAGTTTTGGGTTGCTAATTATAAATATCAACCTTTTAAAAGTAAATTAAAAATGTAGATAAAAGTATTTAAATAACTATTTCAAAATTTGACAGTGCAAGTTTATTAAATATTTTAACTTTAGATTTCATAGAAATCTAAGTTTTTTTGTGAGCTTTTATTATATCATTTTATTCATGTAGAAATATTTTTTTCCAGATGTTTGACCAGTCACTGATGGAGCAAAACTAAAAAAACGGATAAAATATACATCATAAGATTAATCAAAAACAAAGACATTATTAAAAAAGTGGACCGGGCGAGCATATCAAATATTCTAGCTTTATATTTCTGGAGCTATTTAAGTAGAATATATTTTTGGAGCTTTTATTAGTTTGGTCATCATTGGCTAATTATCACATTGAAATATTTTTTTTAGATATTTGGCCTGTCATTGATAAATAGTGATGTAGGTAAAAATGAATAAATTAAGACTTTTTAAAAAATTGGACGGCGCGAGCTTATTAAATATTCCTACGTCATTACGTAACCAACAGTAACGAGCTGGCTATTGGCTGGTACGCGTATCCGCCACTTCCTTGTTTACTGCCTGGTCAGTTCCACAGCTCAGAAGAAAGCGGGATTAGCTCTCAGTGAAGTTGTTTTATTTGCGGTCGGACAGTCTGCGAGCATTAAAATTAACCCATGAGCACGGATAAGCTGTAAAAGCAAAGTATTGGAGTTCCGTTTTTCTATTTTTTTAGCGCTGTCTAGCTCGTCAGTTTGCTAGTCGCAGCTGAGAGTACAGGCAGCGGCAGCCATGATGGCGTCCAGCTACAGCGCGAAGGAGGAGGACGGCCACCACTCAGGATCCGCCGCAGCAGGTGGTCCTGGAGCGGGGAAAAGCAGGAAACCTGACAACACGGCTTTCAAACAGCAGCGCCTGCCAGCCTGGCAGCCCATTCTTACAGCCGGCACCGTGCTGCCTGCCTTCTTCGTCATCGGCCTCATCTTCATCCCCATTGGCATCGGCCTCTTCGTGACGTCCAATAACATCAAAGAGTTTGAGGTACGACTGTGGTAAAGTAAAGAAGTGGTCGTTTTTGTGAAATTGTTTATTCATGAAGACGGCTTATTTTCCCCAAGCCTTGTTATCGTGGTTGTCACACTTTTCACTCTGGTTCCTTAACATCATCATCATAATCATCACTTTTATTTACATAGCGCCTTTGCCCATGCTCAAGGGCGCTTTACAGTCAAAGAGCATAAACACACAGAAAGTATACAATTAATAACAAAAGGACATAAGAGGAACACCGATAACGTGAAAACAAGTATGTCTTTAACAGCGATTTAAGTGCGGATAGGGAGAAGACGTCCCAAATAGACTTGGGGGAGGGTATTCCATAATTTGGAAGCTACTGCACTAAATGATCAACCACCCATAGAGTTCAGTTTAAACCTTTGAATGTAAAGAAGGCCTATATTACGTGATCTTAAGATACAGGATGGGACATTTAGATGAAGAAAGTAATGACGAACCAGGCCGTACAGAGTTTTATATGTAA